ACTCGTGTTATGTGGTAGTAGTGAGTCTTGTAAGAAATGAAATACTATTTACAAATAACAAAATTATTGTTCCAAATAAATATAAAAAACCTTCAAGGTTTAACCAACAAAAGTTATCTGATGTCATGAAAAATGAATTAATTCTTTGGCCCCTCCTAGACAGGAAGACACATACACGTTTTCCAAGCAGTGACCAAACTATCTTTTCTTAAAAACTTAAAGAAACATTCCCAGCCCTTTCCAGAATGGGGCCAGTAAGGGCGCTACTTCCGGTACTTAGCTGGTTCCCGGCTCCCTTTCCGCACGCCACCATGCGATATGCAAGACGGGGGCCCAGCTTACTCCCGCTACCAGAATTCCGGTGACAAGCGGATATTCAAGAACCAGTTCTGGTTCCAAATTGCGCGACCGTCAAATATGACTTTACTAGACAGGACCAAGTGTACTACCATCCTTGCCTGTCACAGCTGTTGACAGTCGTAACAGTTGGCTAATTTGGGGATGGTTAAATCGGATACTGGTTATTCCTGCAAGGATTATCGGTTCCTTACTGTCAACTGACAACCACGAGACCATTCGAAAAGGGTTGAAACGTTGTTTGTCACCGGAAGTACTAAAGTCTCGCGAAGTACCGCGACCTACTTACGGTCGTAACACCTATATTAAATGGTGCGACCAAATACCTAAAGTTAAACTTTATATTTAAATTTATTGGCAATTGAGTTTTGGAAACTTGTTTCTAGGGGACAATAGAGCCGGCGATTCAGTCCATCTTGTCGAAGTGGGCTCCAAAACTTGAGAAGGCGTCCCTATCCTCGTGTGCTTATGCTGGTATGTGTTTTCTCTTCCATGTTGCGTTGGTTTAGCTGCTGCAGATTGATAGGTCTAACGCTTTAATCTTGTTCGTAATGTCCAACAGAAATGTAAAAATGCAACCCAACAGAATAAACATTCTTTAGGGCCCAACACATTCTAATTGGCCTAAAAAGCAAACTATGAATGAAAATCAGTAAGGACACCAAGCGTTCGCGGGAAGGGCATACATGCTTGCCTTACCTGTAGCATTCTATAACCAAAGATTGGTTGGTTCGTTTGTTGGTTTGCAATAGTCCAGCTATATGTATAACCAAATGATTCCTGATTGATTACCATAAATTACACGGATCTGCCTCCTTGCGTTTTAACATTACTTCATTATTTCAATCAACTAGACGCGTAACTCGTCACGGGAAAATGATCACTAATTCAAAATGAACATTTATTATCTGAATCGTTTTTTGCCCGCTATATCTATTGATTGACAGATACACATAGAGGCAGATACTCATGGTTGTGCTAGACACTCGTGGTTCTAGTATTGTCGTAACTGCGTTTGAGCGTCAGTAGACCCTACTACAGTTACGTACTAATTATGGCCGTTCCACAGTGTTAGGGGAGATGTAAGCTCAGGTTGTACACTCGCTTGGTCCGTTGCAGGATGCTAAGTCCAGGAGTGATGGGTCGGACGACCGTGACTCCTAACTAACAACATCACATTTATGTTTTGGAACACATTCCTCCAAAGATAAACACAACACCAAGTTCTACATTCACATATGTTTACTTTGCCATCTCTCTTACTACAACTTCAACACCAGTCAGGATAGGCTTGTAACAGTGGGGGGTGGAGGGGTGGGGTAGTCTAGTGGTTAAAGCGTTGGCTCGTCACGCCGAAGACCCGGGTTCGAATCCCCACATGGGTACAATGAGTGAAGCCCATTTCTGGTGTCCCCCGCCGTGATATTGCTGGAATATTGCTAAAAGCGGCGTAAAACCAAACTCAGTCAGTCAGTTGTAACAGTGGGAAACTGAGTGATGGCGATAGGTTTCCGACAATTGCAAAGCCCGCACTACTCTACTCGTGTTAAAGGTAACTTTTTAAATGGTTCGAGTCTGATCTGATCTTGATCACATGTTCCAACCCATCGTTTTGATTCGTTAAGGACTGTATCTGTCCTTGCACCTGTGTAAGTAGATATCGGAAAAATACCGGGCAGCATAGATCAGTGACTCACCCCTTTTCAACTGTTCTTGATTGTTTGAACGAAAGATTAATCTGTCCCGTCACTCATGACGACTGTGTCCTGCACGTGCCTGCACTACGGCTCACACACATCTCTCTATTGATCTCCTTGTAACTTTCGTCATTCTGTTTCCGTTGCCTTCCCAACCTTAAAGCACTCGTGAAAAAAACGCAAACCTAAATAAGGAATCTGCTGAAATTTAACGGTTTTTTATATATATTTTGACCTTATAACAGTATATATTCTTGTTCAGGTAGCTAGTAGCTACTGTTGTTTGTAGTAGATACTTTGGTTGGCGTGGATACACATGGTTTTGGTAGATATTCGTGGTTGTGTAAGATACTCGTGGTGTTGGTTGTTTGACGTGGGAGATTATGTTTGACTTTGTTTGTTTTGGAGGTTTTTATCAACGCCGCGCTCAGACAATGTAAACATGATTTAGTTCCGAGTAGTAAATGTTCCGGTTCGGAATAAATGCCGTGAAATTGAGAATGGATGACACGAATAAAAATTCCGCGGGAACATACGGCAAATATTCCATCGAACAGGAACAAATACCGAAATAGGCCTAACCTATTCCAGTCATTATTGAATGCAAAATGGACTCATCCAACTTGTCAACATCCGGGATGTCTACTAACTTCAACTTGGTTACATGTTGACTGTAACCTGGCTACTGACTAACTGTAACTTGGTTACATGCTGACTGTAACCTGGCTACGGGTGACTAACTGTAACTTGGTTACATGTTGAACTGTAACCTGGCTACTGACTAACTAACTTGGTTACATGTCGACTGTAACTTGGCTACTGACTAACTGTAACTTGGTTACATGCTGACTGTAACCTGGCTACTACTAACTGTACTTGGTTACATGTTGACTGTAACTGGCTACTGATGTTGGACATGTCGACTGTAACCTGCTGACTACTTGGCTACTAACTGTAACTTGGTTACATGTTGACTGTAAACTTGGCTTACATGTTGACTGTAACCTGGCTACTGACTGTAACTTGGTTACATGTCGACTGTAACCTGGCTACTGACTGTAACTTGGTTACATGTCGACTGTAACCTGGCTACTGACTGTAACTGTAACTTGGTTACATGTTGACTGTAATCTGGCTACTGACTAACTGTAACTTGGTTACATGTTGACTGTAACCTGGCTACTGACTGACTGTAACTTGGTTACATGTTGACTGTAACCTGGCTACTGACTGACTGTAACTTGGTTACATGTTGACTGTAATCTGGCTACTGACTGACTGTTAATTGTTACATGTTGACTGTAACCTGGCTACTGACTGACTGTTAATTGGTTACATGTTGACTGTAACCTGGCTACTGACTAACTACTGGTAACATGTTGACTGTAACCTGGCTACTGACTAACTGTAACTTGATTACATATTGAATGTAACCTGGCTACTGACCAACTGTAACTTGGTCACATAATGACTGTAACCTGGCTACTACTGACTGACTGTTACATGTTGGTTACATGTCTACTGACCTGTAACCTGGCTACTGACTGTAACCTGATTAATGAAGGTAACTTGGTTACATAATAACTGAACTCTTTTTAACACAAGATTCATTTAGAATCATCAGTTCGCATTCTGGGAATCTACAATGTATTTTCAGACCAAAAAATTAAGGAACTTTCACACATGATAATTGTGTGGAAGTTCCTTGATACCCGGAACATGATTTGTTCCATATGGAAACAAATACACTATTACAGAAAAATCCTTTTTTTTTCCTTTCCGTTTCCCCACGCCCCAATTTTAAGACCACCCCAACAAACAAAACCCTCTTTAGACACTTTATGTCGTGTGTGTGGAAGTTCCTCTTTACCCGAATAAATTCTGTGTGTAAACGTTGGAACTAAATAATTGTTCCCGCATGCACTTTTTACAGGAACAAATAAAGAAATGAAAAGTTCTGGATACGGAACTTTTACTAAGGATGGGGAACCAAATGTTTTTTCACAAACTTTCGTTTGATTGAACGTAACAAGACTATTATAAAGGATCATCCTTTGCAACCAATCAAATGCATGAAGTGCTTTTGAGACGACCATTGATCATTTCAATCCGTACTCAGAACACCTGTAGACTGTGTGACTAACTCAGCCATTTTTGTACAGGTGGTTATACACTACTGTGTGTGTTTCCATGGGTCCTGTTTGTTTCCGACTTCCCAAGGGACCATCCCCGCATTAAGGAGACAGAGGTGAAATTCATCACCAGGAACCAGTCAGTTGGGAAAAAGCACTGGAAGGCAAGTGAGATATTGTCAGAGGAAGATCGCAGTGCTTCCATTCAGCGGTCAGTATTTTGGTTAAGTGAGTGAGTGAGTGAATGTTTGACTCACAAGCGTCAAGTGGAGCTATTTACCACTTGGTAAATCCAACGAGTACGAGTATGCTGCTGATAAACCTAGCGACATAATCCTCGCGAACCGGGATTCGAACCGACGAACAAAGCGATCTGGCTCCGAAAGGGACGCAACTCTGTGCAGCAAATGCGGCGTCTTAGACAACTGGACCACCCATGACTGCAAGTTGGTTTGGGATAGAAGTGATACTTTGTTCAACACTCTTGAGTGAGCTAAGTGAGTGAGTTTACGCCGCTTTTAGCAACATCCCAGCAAAAACAGATATGAGCTTCACACATTGTACCCATGTGGGGAATCGAACCCGGGTCTTCGGCGTGACGAGCGAACGCTTTAACCACGAGGCTACCCCACCGCCCCTCAACACTCTTGATCTATTCGGGAATAAATATGTACTCGTAATATAGTGGACATCGTAACATGGAGATTGTCAGAGATGCCTTCTTAATATGGAAAGGGTTTTGTAGCTTTTATTATCCTGTGTATAGGCATTCAACTATTACCATATTCAAACTCATCGTCCATATTGCAGATGTCGAAGTCGCTATGGTGGAAGATATTAACGTCGCCGGAAGTGTGGGCGATCTGTGCCGCCTACATCAGTCATGCTTGGGTAACATCGTGGTTCATGGCCTACCTGCCTCAATACATGAAGCAGATCCTCAACTATGACATCGAAGAGGTGATTATTATCATTACTATGAATCCCATCTTGTCAAACTCCCCTTTGTCACACTTAGGCCGTGATAGGTTTTTAACCATCAATGTCCAACTATGCATCTCAGTTCACTGAGTGAGTGAGTGAGTGAGTATGTTTTATGCCGCTTTTAGCAATATTCCAGCAACACAGCGGGGGACACCAAAATGGGCTTCACATATTGTACCCATGTGGGGAATCGAACCTGAGTCTTCGGGGTGACGAGTGAACGCTTTAACCAATAGGCTACCCCACCGCCTATTCCCACTAAGGGATTCAGTGCCTGTGTATTACACACGTGGAGTCTGTAGACTGTATTAGTCCAGTCACTATGATCGTCCTTCAGATACGTGCCATTCTACTGTAGCTAATACATGTACTCAGGAACCTTGTTAAGACTGCTCCTTGAGAACATTAAGATGGTCCTGACACTAATATAAGACTGAACCTCGGTCCTAGATCATGTTTAATTAAGCATTGGCCGCCATCATAAGTGATTTAATCAACAATGGCAACATTTTCAGTCCATTCACTAAGGGAATAAATATGACCCTGAAAATAGAACACAGACTGAACTTCGGTTCCATCATAAGTGATTTAATCAACATTGGCAACATTTTCAGTCCATTCACTGAGGGGATAAATATGACCCTGACAATAGAACACAGACTGAACTTCGGTTCCAGATTGGTTTGAATCAACATACATTTTGTCAGCCAGGGATATAGAACTCTCTATGTTGATTCAATTCAAATTTTCTACCATGACTTTAGTGACAAATACACTGGATTGTGATTGGTTAATTAAAGTCACTCAGAGATTCAATATAATCATGTTAATAATCATTATTGAAATTAGGAAGCTACATGACTTTTGCTTGGATACAAATAACTTAAAACCACTACAGATATATTATATGTGTGGACCTATATATTACATGTGTAATACATAGGTATATAACATATATTTCTATAAGCCACATTCATTTAATAATAATGTTTAAACCAAAATAAACCGGCATTATGTTTAAACCAGGTTTATAGATATGTTTCATACCTGTAATGCTATCCTTTCTTCTTTAACCTGGGATAAATATGGTTGTTGATTGGTATCAAAATGGATAAATGATTATAAATCTAAGCATTTGGTAGTCTCACAATGCTAAAGTGTCAACATTTCACCACTCGCCCCTTATCTGACACCTAATACATTTGGTAGTCATGAATGTTCACAATAATAATGAGTTAGAATTGTTCTTCAGCAACCCATGCTTGCCGTATGAGGCGACTCGGATGGTCAGGCTCGCTGACTTGGTTGACACAAGCCATCGCATGCAAACTACGTAGATCGATGCTCATGGCGTTGCCACTGGATTGTCTGGTCCAGATAGCTGCCATATAGCTCAAAAAGTGCTGAGATAAACAAAAAACAAACAAAACAAACAAATTAACGAAACAAACAAATGAGTTCATATGTCTTTGTAACCTGCGTATTATATAACCTTTATGATGCTTGGTTTGAGAACAAGTAAGCCTCACAACATACAGTAGCTAGTTAATTACTTATTAGTTATTCGTGTAAACAGTCCGAAACCGAAATGAGTGAGTGAGTTAATTTTTAAGTCACATCGGCAGTATTTCACCCATATCGTGACTGACATCAATTTATATCATGCCAATAATGGTTGTCACCCCTCCCCACCCCAACCCAACACAAACGTCACACTCCCTATCTCCCACACCCTCTCTAATTAAAAAAATTGAAGGGGGTGACAACCATTATTGGCATGAGTATACATTTATAATAAGTATAGGTACATTATAAAAACCTGTCAACTAAGGACAGTAAAACAACTAGTTTATCACAGATGGAAATTTAAAATCTAGTAATTAAATTTGAAACATTTTAACTATACAAAACGATGCAATATAAAAACAGGCTATAGATTGCCAACAACTGAAGGTAGATCACCATACTAGGGACCATGGGGACTTACACTACTTTGGCTACGTGCATGGACCCAAGGAGTATCATCCCTTCAGTCGCTGGCAATATTGGGGAAACTGAAGTCAAAATTAAAATGACAAATATTCTACGTTTATAACCATTGGTAGATAAAATATACCTTGACTGATATGGACCTCATCAGAGGGAAAATAATTTTTACAGTACTTCAACCCCCTTCAGGGAACAGCCACAAACAAACTTAGTTATCAATTTTTCTACCAATTTTATAAAATCTATTGTTATATACAAAACATGTAAATCAAAATTTGTGTAATAAATCAATTTCTTTTTAAAAAACAATACTTAAAAGTGAACTTACAATAAAAAGATCCATTGATGAAACTTTGAAATAGTTACCCTTGTGATGGAAAAACCAATACAGTCAAGCTAACCCGAAATGAAGTTACAGACCGGTATAGGCGTGGTGACTAACAGCTAAATTGACATTCTTCTGATAACAACTACCATACGTGATCATTTTAAAAACACCTAATAAGTAACCCTATTGCAGAATGGTATCCTGTCGTCGGTGCCGTATGCGGGGAGGTTATTAGTCGGCGTGGTGTCAGGCAACATATCGGACAGGATGCTCTCCAGGAGACTTCTGTCGACAGCAAATACAAGGAAGACCTTCCAGGGTTGACGTAGGTACGTCAAAATGACGTCAGGTGAAATTTAAGATGGCGTATGTTTAGAATTCTTGATGTGCGGCTGCTTGTAGTATCCCAGACATGGATAGTACTGCCCACTGAGTGCCCGCAGGACTGAATACCCCCACTCCAGCATTTATTTTCCCTTGTCATTAATGCCGAGCGCCAGGCTCAAATTGTACGTCATGATGACGCGGTCGGGGATCGAAATGACGTTAGTAAACCATTGTACTGGTGATTAGGCAGCGTCTCATTCCTCATAGCTTCCTGGAAGTGAACAGTCGGTATCAGTCTTCACAAATATGCGTCATAACACCATCCTCTATCTTAACCTCTGTCTACAGTCAATGTAAGGACGACGTTCCAACTCGAGGGTACGTCATGGTCACGAAAGTGACGGGATGCTCCCATTACTTTCCCCTCGAAAGCATTAATTTTACTATATTTTACTGTGACGTTTTAGTCGTTTATGGATTGAATTACATTCAGGACATGTCGCGGATTGTGCGAATTACTATTATTAACGTTCTACCGCCGTCAGAAACGTACGTCATACCTCCAGGTGACTATAATTAAAGCACGGAATACTACCCAGCTTCTGAGCACGTCTTGATGACGTCAATATATGACGGGTGCTTCCTCTACTTTTCGTCATAAGCATTAATTGTACTATCTTTCACTGCCTTCCACGCAATACAAACAGGGTAGAATATGTTTGTATATCCCAAGTTAGCGATATGATTGATGTAAATTATGATTGTTCGTTTTACTGTTAATTAGTTGGTGGACGAACTTATACGTTATCATAAAGTTATAACGTTCCAACCTTAAAACAAACATTCTCTTAGCATAAAATCGGTATAACTTACTTGCTTAGGTGAAATCTAATTTCATTGCACAGCAACGCTTCGTGACGTCATTCATTTGACGTGTGACGTCATTCGTTTCAATGTCGAGTCTAGATCTCCAACATTTTCTGCAAGAGTTCGACATATAGTACAGTTCGATACGTACAGGTCGACTTAAGGTTTTCATCCATGATCATACGCAGCTGCAATATTTAGGTGATTTTTTAAATATCATAAAGATATTTTAAATGCAATTGTTAGGTCACAAACATCGTCTTCACATTAAGAAAAAGGACACAGTTAGATTCTTGATTTACTCTTCTAATGTTAGGATGAGCTCGAATATTATTTAAGTAATTAATAATGCTTCAAACAGAAATAAATAATAAATACCCCATCCTATCCTCAACTCCCCTCTCCCGTTTCTCAATTATTTCTCAGATGAAATAAGGAAATAAGGAACACACGCAGTGTTGCTACTTTAATCAACTTGTGTTGATTTCTTTGGGATGAATTTCAGTGGTGAATAACCAATTTCAGACATGCGTGTGTGTTCATGAGCATGTATTTTGTGTGTTGTGTATTTCTTGCTGTATGTGCATATACAGACCCTACTAACCGAAATGTACACGTGAAGATCCAGGTTAGAATTGATCTTCAGTAACCCATGCTTGTCGTAAGAGGCGACTAACGGGATCGGGTGGTCAGGCTCGCTGATTTGGTTGACACATGCCATCGTATCCCCAATAGATCGATGCTCATGATGTCAATCACTGGATTGTCTGGTCCAGACTCGATTATTTACAAATCGCTGCCATATAGCTGGAATATTGCTGAGTGCGGCGTAAAACTCACTCACTCACTCTAACTGAAATGAGGTATATTCCAGGATGTCTTGGGTGCGCTGCATGTATGATTCTTGTGGGGTTCCTTGACGACAACAATGGGACCTTGGCTTTGTCGCTGTTGATTGCTGGTATATCCCTACAGAACTGTACATCCGTCGCCTTCAAAATCAATCACCTTGACATAGCGCCAAGGTTGGTGCTACGTCTCAACTTCATCATATACCCATCAAAAGTTTAGACTCACCTAAAGCAATCACTACATATTATGTATATATATATGGTTACATCGAACTTAGGGGAACCAATAGTCTGTCGTACAGACCCTGAAGCAAATATATCCAAGAAAGCCCACGCAAATCTACAAAATGTGGCAAGTCTAGATTTCCTCAGCTTCAGGAAATGAAGAAAGTCTCAAGGCTCCTTTTCATTATATTATATTTTTTTTTACTATGAACTTTTTTCAGTAAAATAGGTTCATTTCAGAGACTAGTTGTTAGTCTAGGGTACCAACTGCAGAACTTATGCAGATGAATTGCACGAGGATCATGTATCAATTTGCTGAAAGCATGTGCAAATATTGTGCATGTGTACAGCAGCGTTTTGGTGTAAAGTTTTGTTAGGAATTCGCCAATGTTCACTGATGTTTATCATGTATTGAACTCATGACAATAATCTTTTCAACGTTACGAATTTGTTTTACAATACATCAGTTCATGTGTAAACAGGACCTTTAAACAGTATGGAGTATTTTGCAAACTTTAGTTTAGCACAGTTGCCTGAAGTAAGTGGTTATATTTACATTAGTAAGTCTGAACTTTTGATGGGTAGTGTATATAGCATATTAAAGTACAGGGCTAATGAGTATTACAGGTGAACGTCAGTAGAACGTCTGGGTCATCTTGGGGTGAGAAGAAGCTCAAATGGATATATGTCCTAGAGGTTTGGAACGTTTTCAAACCCTCGAGCACGGGGTTGACATATATATAAATATATACAACAAAAGGGCATATCTGAGATTCGAGCCCACGCCACCCGTGAAGATCCGGGTTAGAATTGGTCTCCGGTAATCCATGCTTATCGTAGGAGGCGACTAACGGGATCGGGGATCGGGTTGACTTGGTTGACACATGTCATCGTATCCTAATTGCGTAGATCGATGCTAATGATGTTGATCACTGGATTGTCTGGTCCAGACTCCATTATTTGCAGACCGCTGCCATATAGCTCGAATATTGCTGAGTGCAGCGTGAAACTAAACTCACTCACTCACTCACTCACTCGAACTCAGGCTCATAGGATCCTGGCGTAGCTAAGGACACTTCACAGATTACTACGACTTCGGCGACAGGACCACCCAAGGGTAACGGACACACTTGTAGCAGCAGTAACCATGGTAACGTTGGGAGGTGAAACAGATGGTGTGGCGTCATTTGTTGCAGCAGATGGCGTAGAAACAGTAAAACTAACATATTCTCACATACTATTTGCTTCTACAAAACCTCATTCTGTTTCTACTAGTCAGCACTAAGGCATGTTGCCATGTGATTGTTACCGCAACAAGTATTAATGGGAGATGGCATGGTCATCGGATGAGTAGAAATATTGTTTCAGAAGAGGTACCCGTGAAGATGTAGAGGTAGTGACAACAATGGTGTAGGCACTGTGGTAACAATCTAAAAGGAAGGAGTAGAAGTAGTGGTAACGGTGGTAACAGAAGGTGTAGAAGTAGTGGTAACGGTGGTAACAGAAGGTGTAGAAGTAGTGGTAACGGTGGTAACAGAGGGTGTAGTAGTCGTGGTAACGGTGGTAACAAGGTGTAGAAGTAGTGGTAACGGTGGTAACAGAGGGTGTAGAAGCAGTGGTAACGGTGGTAACAGAGGGTGTAGAAGTAGTGGTAACGGTGGTAACAGAGGGTGTATAAGCAGTGGTAACGGTGGTAACAGAGGGTGTAGAAGTATTGGTAACGGAGGTAACAGGCGTAGAAGTAGTGGTAACGGTGGTAACAAGGTGTAGAAGTAGTGGTAACGGTGGTAACAGAGGGTGTAGAAGTAGTGGTAACGGTGGTAACAGAGGGTGTAGTAGTCGTGGTAACGGTGGTAACAAGGTGTAGAAGTAGTGGTAACGGTGGTAACAGAGGGTGTATAAGCAGTGGTAACGGTGGTAACAGAGGGTGTAGAAGTAGTGGTAACGGAGGTAACAGGTGTAGAAGTAGTGGTAACGGTGGTAACAGAGGGTGTAGAAGTAGTGGTAACGGTGGTAACAGAGGGCGTAAGAAGGTGGTAACGGTGGTAACAGAGGGGTGAGGGGTGTATAAGCCGTGGTAACGAGGTGGTAACAGAGGGAAGCCGTGGTAACGGTGGTAACAGAGGGTGTAGAAGTAGTGGTAACGGTGGTAACAGAGGGTGTAGAAGTAGTGGTAACGGTGGTAACAGAGGTGTAGAAGTAGTGGTAACGGTGGTAACAGAGGGTGTAGAAGTAGTGGTAACGGTGGTAACAGAGGGTGTAGAAGCCGTGGTAACGGTGGTAACAGAAGGTGTAGAAGTAGTGGTAACGGAGGTAACAGGTGGTAGAAGCAGTGGTAACGGTGGTAACAGAGGTGTAGAAGTGGTAACGGTGGTAACAGAGGTGTAGAAGTAGTGGTAACGGTGGTAACAGAAAGTGTAGAAGTAGTGGTAACGGTGGTAAGGTGTATGAAGTAGAAGGTAACGGTGGTAACAGAAGGTGTAGAAGTAGTGGTAACGGTGGTAACAGAAGGTGTAGAAGTAGTGGTAACGGAGGTAACAGAAGATGTAGAAGTAGTGGTGACGGTGGTAACAGAAGGTGTTCAAGTAGTGGTAACGGAGGTAACAGAAGGTGTACAAGTAGTGGTAACGGAGGTAACAGATGAAGAAGCAGTGGTAACGGTGGTAACAGAAGGTTTAGGGGTAGTGGTAACGGTGGTAACAGAAGGTGTAGAGATAGTGGCAACAGAGGGTGTATAAGCAGTGGTAACGGAGGTAACAGAAGGTGTAGAAGTAGTGGTAACAGAAGGTCTAGGGGTAGTGGTAACGGGGTAACAGAATGTGTAGAGATAGTGGCAACAGAGGGTGTAAAGGTAGTGGTTATAAAGGTAACAGAAGGTGCACAGGTAGAAATAACACAAAGCCTCTTTGTATCACCACCATTTATCCTCCAACATTTGCCTCCCCCAGATTCGCCGGCGTGATCGTCGGCATGACCATATCATGTGCGATGACGGCCTCGCTGTCCGCGCCACTAATAACGTCGTACGTCATTAAACAGGTTTGTACACAGTTCACGACTCACTTCCAGCTGAACATTTAATATAATTTAAATCGAAAAAAGAGAAAATGTGTAATGTTGTTCTGCCCAAGTGGGTTTCAGGAATGATAGAAACAAATAATCTCCCGTCAGGGTTCCAGCAAACAGATCACTCACTGAAAACTCTTGACGTTGGTCCCTGTTCCCTCCAAAACAGTTTAACATTGGTCCGGTTGGTTGATGATAGATTGCTATTGAAGTTGTCTATTTTCAAAAGAACAACCATCATCGTGGGTTTCAGTGCGAAAATTGAACATAACACAACTTTAAAACTGCTTATAAATGTTGTCATTTATGCGAAAACGATACGCCTTCATTTCGCGTTGTCACCTTGATATAAAGCATGTCACGGTTACCGGCTAGGACCCACGACGCTCGATTATGTTCTATATAGAACGGCAAGGACCCACGACGCTCGATTATGTTCTATATAGAACGGCTAGGATCCACGATGTTCGATTATGTTCTATATAGAACGGCTAGGATCCATGACGTTCGATTATGTTCTATATAGAACGGCTAGGACCCACGACGCTCGATTATGTTCTATATAGAACGGCTAGGATCCACGACGTTCGATTATGTTCTGCTATAGAACGGCTAGGACCCATGACGCTCGATTATGTTCTATATAGAACGGCTAGGATCCACGACGCTCGATTATGTTCTATATAGAACGGCTAGGACCCATGACTCGATTATGTTCTATATAGAACGGCTAGGACCCACGACGCTCGATTATGTTCTATATAGAACGGCTAGGACCCACGACGCTCGATTATGTTCTATATAGAACGGCTAGGACCCACGACGCTCGATTATGTTCTATATAGAACGGCTGGGACCCACGACGCTCGATTATGTTCTATATAGAACGGCTAGGACCCACGACGCTCGATTATGTTCTATATAGAACGGCTAGGACCCACGACGCTCGATTATGTTCTATATAGAACGGCTAGGACCTTACGACGCTCGATTATGTTCTATATAGAACGGCTAGGACCCACGACGCTCGATTATGTTCTATATAGAACGGCTAGGACCCACGACGCTCGATTATGTTCTATATAGAACGGCTAGGACCCACGACGCTCGATTATGTTCTATATAGAACGGCTAGGACCAACGACGCTCGATTATGTTCTATATAGAACGGCTAGGACCCACGACGCTCGATTATGTTCTATATAGAACGGCTAGGACCCACGACGCTCGATTATGTTCTATATAGAACGGCTAGGACCAACGACGCTCGATTATGTTCTATATAGAACGGCTGGGACCCACGACGCTCGATTATGTTCTATATAGAACGGCTAGGACCCACGACGCTCGATCGATATGTTCTATATAGAACGGCTAGGACCCACGACGCTCGATTATGTTCTATATAGAACGGCTAGGACCCACGACGCTCGATTATGTTCTATATAGAACGGCTAGGACCCACGACGCTCGATTATGTTCTATATAGAACGGCTAGGACCCACGACGCTCGATTATGTTCTATATAGAACGGCTAGGACCCACGACGCTCGATTATGTTCTATATAGAACGGCTAGGACCCACGACGCTCGATTATGTTCTATATAGAACGGCTAGGACCCACGACGCTCGATTATGTTCTATATAGAACGGCTAGGACCCACGACGCTCGATTATGTTCTATATAGAACGGCTAGGACCCACGACGCTCGATTATGTTCTATATAGAACGGCTAGGACCAACGACGCTCGATTATGTTCTATATAGAACGGCTAGGACCCACGACGCTCGATTATGTTCTATATAGAACGGCTAGGACCCACGACGCTCGATTATGTTCTATATAGAACGGCTAGGACCCACGACGCTCGATTATGTTCTATATAGAACGGCTAGGACCCACGACGCTCGATTATGTTCTATATAGAACGGCTAGGACCCACGACGCTCGATTATGTTCTATATAGAACGGCTAGGACCCACGACGCTCGATTATGTTCTATATAGAACGGCTAGGACCCACGACGCTCGATTATGTTCTATATAGAGAACGGCTAGGACCCACGACGCTCGATTATGTTCTATATAGAACGGCTAGGACCACGACGCTCGATTATGTTCTATATAGAACGGCTAGGACCCACGACGCTCGATTATGTTCTATATAGAACGGCTAGGACCACGACGCTCGATTATGTTCTATATAGAACGGCTAGGACCCACGACGCTCGATTATGTTCTATATAGAACGGCTAGGACCCACGACGCTCGATTATGTTCTATATAGAACGTATAGACTTATAGTTCTTTTGATTTATGAGCAGTCATCAGTTATATATAGATTCATATATGTAGGGTATCGGTGTCTTACTGTGACTTATCTTGATGTTTGATACATTATTTGCCCCTGTATTTCCAATCAGTACAAAAGATTCATCAAAGTGTTAGTGTAATTGCCCGAAGACAATTTACTCAAGCCTAACTGCACAATCTAGCAGATGCCTTGGAATGCAAATTAGATTTCGTTCCCCAGGTTCTAGATTTGATTTCTTTTCTTTCTTGAGCATTGTAATTTTTCAACCTCAGTAAATACTTCGTTGATCTGGAACATATCGACAACGACCAGTGCAAGAAATTTCGAACAGCACTTAAACAACATGTATCCCCTGAGTTGTTCTGGTGTGTAAATCAGCTCTGTTTCATTTCTTCAGGGGACAAGACGGGAATGGCAAATCATATTCTTCATCGTGGGCGCCGTCAACGTTTTCGGAGCTGGTGTTTTTGTTGTGTTTGGTAAAGGAACTGAGCGTGATTGGGCGAAGGAGGATACGTAATTTAAAAAATAGAAGGAATCTATGTGCTTATTGCTTCTGTAACTACTGATAATGTGTATGGTTTAATTAGCTGCACGGCCTTACACTGATAATTCTGCATGGTCTAAAAGTGTGAATGGTCTAAGAGGCGACTGTAGGGTCTTACTCTCATGGTTCCAATTGCGCAGATCGATGCTCTGCACAATCTAACTATCTACACGATCAAAGCTAGGTATGGTATAACATTCTATGCGTTCGAACCCTTTGCTGATTGGTTAACACTCCAAATGGCTGTACGGATTAACTATCTACTTGTCCTACCAATCCGTACGGTCTAACAATCTGCATGGTCTAACTATCTGCATGGTCTAACAGTCTGCGTGGTCTACTTAGCTTCACGCACCTTCCACCTATACGGCCTAACCATCTCCGGGAACTTTACCACGTTCTCTCTAAGGGCAAATCCGACATGACCTTATGCTGATTACCAATCATGTAGGTGAGGGTGAGGTGGGGTGAGGTGTGTGTAGTTTAACGCATAGCTGATAGGAAATGCGTAATCAGCTTTATGTGTATGTGTGGCTGCTTGTACTAGCCGATGCTGCAGACTGAGAGCAACTGAATTGACAAAACCGTTATCCACTGCATATCCCGAAAAGTGATTTGCATAGCGTTGGAAGGTAACATGAAAGCAGCCCATAATAAATATCAAGCCCATAATAAAAACAAAAACAATCGTACACATTTACGTGGATTGTGATGATAAGGAGTCATTTTACAACGATGTCAAATTGGTCACAGAGTGTTTACTCACGAGCATCTGCTTTTAACAATGAATGAGTGGGTGACGTTTTACGCTGCTGTTAGCAATATTCCAACAATATGGGAACATAGAAATTGCCTTCACGCATTGTACCCATGTGGAGAATCGAACCCGGGTCTTCGGCGTGACGAGCGAACGCTTGAACCACTAAGCTACCCCTCCCCCCAATTCACCCCCTGCTTTTAACAGATGAGGGCGCCCATAACTGTATCCCTTGTGGTAAAAGATTCACAACGAAAATATGGCAGCTCTTTCATCATTTTGTCTTACCTGCTATGTATATTGGTGCATAACAATTTAGTCACTTCCTATACACGACTTCGCTTCCAGTGCCCTGACCGGAACATGAAGTGCAAGGGGTTCATAGTATCAGGAAGCAAGGCCATTTCATTATTCACTACCTGAAAGAAATTAGTATACCAAATGTATATTAAATTGTGAATATTTATGTGTGTAACTGGTATTGGTTGTTGTTAAATGTGATGGTAGTTTAAATTGTACATATTATTTTAACGTGGACGTTTTTATATAAAAATAATTTATTTGTTTTGTTTTATATAAAGGACTTGTAAATACTTGTTTTATTCTTTGCCGCCATCAAATATTGGAGTATGCTGTTGTTTTGCGGCTGTGAAATAGGCTGTCTGTAACATGGATAAATAGCAATGTCTGTAAGCTGAAAGTGTTGAAACGAAAATATAAGAGAATACTGATCCCAAAATGACATATTAAGATTTTACAGCTGTGTACAACAGTAAATTACTGTATATACAGGAAAAATGAATACTGTATATACTGGAATATACTCAGAAAATGTCATACGTCACCACTTTCAAAGGAGCATTGTGTATTCATAGCTTTTGGTCACTGGAGCCGTGTCAATTTGCGCTGATTAAAGAGGTACACGAAGTACTTGATCTGACCAGTAGCCAGACTTCCATTTTCTTGAAGCGGTGGCTGAGTGGGTTAGATCGTGACTCGGTTCCTCACTCTGAGTGTCTGGGTGACTGTATGTCTGCCGGTACTTGAAACACGGTTTCTTTGAACACTGTTCCATTGATGACAAGGCTGTCATTCATACAATCACATTTTGGAAAACGACAAAAATACGTGATTCCGCTTATGTTAGTTCACAAACACGAATGTAGTGCTGGCAATCCTTAAGTAATAATCATGATGAACCGGGATTCAAACCCGCGGTAATATATATTTGTCAAGCAGCAGGGAACAGCCACATACCGCGTCACAGATTCCTGGATCAACGAGGAAGTTAATAACACACATTCCAGGCCGAGTTATTCGAGCAGTGGTATGGCCGGATAAACCAGCAAGCATATTATTAGGTCGAATCTGGGATTCGAACACATCATCATGGTTTCTGGTCCCTGTGAGAGACTCATGTCACTTATTAATCAAGGTAACTGTCACACAAACCGAAACATGAGTCTCATTAACCTATTCAGACAATGACCTACTTTTCAGCCGATCCGAATTTCCTCGTGTGAAAGTGGAAATAGACATCACAAACAACTATGGTTACACTGAATTCCAATTCCTTGTTTCATAAGAAATGGTATTTAGAACTGGATTTTAATTTTAAACTTTAATAACATCGTATTTCTATATTTTATGGCGAGGTGAAGGCAGCATGACTTTAACAAAGACGTCACAGACTGCCCCAGTTTGATGAGGTCGTAAAATGATTCACAATGCATCTGGCTGACAGGTTACACCTGTTTTGTGTTTTTTTGTGCTTATTCAGTGTAGTTCTGCAACGCACAATGTGATTGATATAATATCAAGTCCGTACCAGACCGCCAAACCTTTCTAGCGGCAGAGCCTCGTTTTGAGATTTCCACGATTTCCAGGTTTCTGTTTGTCAGTGCTTGCTGTACGACAGAGCGCGCTGCACGATATTTTTGCAAGGATTATAAGGAGCGTAGTGTTGCAATATACAAGTGCTTAGATGTATCAAATAATACTGATTAATATTTATATATCCAGTGCAATGAATTGGTCTACAAATTCTGGACTGGTTATTGTACTAAGCTGCGCAATAGGACGGAACCCAATCAACAGGAAACGAGACTGTCGTGTAATCAATGTTTTGACTTGGCCGTTATTTAACGTTGACTTTCGGTTGTATTATTTTTTTCTCAAATCAGATATATAGACCACGGTTTCACTGTGAGAATGGTTAGTGGTTGGTGTATCTACGGTAATTGCGTGTCCCTTGGAATAGATTTCATCATGTTCTATATACTGTTGGTCTGGTATCGAACGTATATCGGCAATTGATAAGGCTTAGTAACGTTTGGTGTGAAGAGCATAGTAATTGTGAGGTAACGAAAGGAATTAGACGTGCTAATATAATGATATTGTGACCAGACATATCAAGACTCATTCTCTGTCACGGTAGAATGAATTCCATTACCTCGCCGAATGCAGCAACGCTGTGATCAAATGGGACAATTTGTTTACATGGAATGTTTAGGTGAGGTGAGGTGAAATTGGGTTTAACGTCGTGCTTGAGAATATTTCGCTCATATGACGACGTGGTATCTTTAGGAGCTCTTTCTTTTGACACTCTGCCAAGCAGATGTGATTTGGGAGATTTTACGAGTGCTTCGATTTACTCACCAAAATCAGCTGAAAACGAGCACCTGAGGAAATAACTTGAAACGAGCGTGCAAATTTGTCCTTATAACATTTTTATTTTCAATATTTGACATCAGAAACCGCGGTGGGATACATATTCAGTGAAATACGCCCTTCGTGGATTGATTAAGACATCGATCATTGAAACATTTTGAAATAAATCCTGAATTTTATTCCCTCAGCAGCCAACATTTACCTCTGAGACATACACTACACCCTTTACAATCTGGTGACTAACGCGGGGCATTCCTCACCCCAACGACTACTGTAACACACAATCTTGCATACGATGAAGCTAGGAGCATCGAGCACCCTTCCACACTCCATTCACTCACCCTATTAAACTAACGGGATCGGGTGGTCAGGCTCGCTGACGTGGTTGACACACACCATCTTATGCCAATTGTGTGGATCAATGCTCATACTGTTGATCACTGGATTTAATGGTGCAGACTCGATTATTTACAGACAGCCGCCATATAGCTGGAATAATGAGTGCGGCGTTAAACAACCAACCAACCCTATTAGTCATGAGGGGCGGTGGGGTAGCCTAGTGGTTAAAGCGTTGGCTCGTCACGCCGAAGACCCAGGTTCGATTCCCCACATGGGCACAATGTGTGAAGCCCATTTCTGGTGTCCCCCCGTCGTGATATTGCTGGAATATTGCTAAAAGCGGCGTAAAACCAAACTCAGTCAGTTAGTATTAGTCATGAGGCTTAGTCTTCGGTGTCTCTTGACAGAGCCCAGTGTGGTCATGACATCTCCAGGGTATACGTTACGATCACTATAGTGGAGAGTGATCGTAACGCATACCCTGGAGATTATCGAGGATGATATAGGACCAACCAAAGAATCTATGGGACCGACGGGCCAGATATAGCTCCGACGTTCGGAAATGGGAAAACGACATGGGAAAATATAGAGATGTCAAGGGAAGATAGTTGCAAGACTTAGGTAATTATAGGCACATAATGGAATGTCACTGCATAATGAAGAAAAGGGGAAAATGTTGTCATGATATAGGAACGACAAACTTATAAAAACACAACATAAGATGTGATCATGAATGTATCACGCGTTGACGTAAAAGTTTGAACAGGAGAGATGAGTATCTGCTTCAGGGGTCAACTAGTAGTCTACAGATGATCGGGTCAGGATACGTGCTCCTCCGTTCGGTTCGTGGGGACACTGTCCGCACTTCGCTGCGCATCGTCATCTTTTAGGGGGGCATCAGTTGTTACATCGTCATCAGACTGGTGTACAACGTCATTAGTTCGGGGCACGTCGTCATCAGTTCGGTGTACATCGTCATCAGTTCGGGGTACACCGCTATCAGTTTCGGGAGCATCTCCAGTTCGGATCCCTTTCTCATCAGTTTGAAGTACATTGTCATCGGTTTGGTGCACCACGTCACTAGTTCCGGACACAGCGTCATCAGAAAATGTGGTCCTGTGACCTTTTCTCGTCTCATCTGGGTTATTGTCTGCGTCGTATCTAGCCTGCATTTCCGTAGAAACAACGTGGGGGTTGTCTTCCTTTGCCCAATCAAGTTCAGTTCCTTTTCCAAACACCACAAATACGCATGCGCCGACAATGTTCAAACCACCAACGATCCAGAAAACTATTTGCCATTCTTCTCTAGTTCCCTGAAGAATAAACCAAGAGGTATATCGATCTGAAATAGCCACAAACACGGTCACTACAAACACACTCATTCACGCACATCATAACATGAAAAAGTGAGTGAGTTTAGTTTTACGCCGCTTTTAGCAATATTCCAGCAATATCACGGCGGGGGACACCAGAAATGAGCTTCAGAAATTGTGCCCATGTGGGGAATCGAACCCGGGTCTTCGGCATGACGAGCGAACGCCTTAACCACTAGGCTACCCTACCGCCCCTGAAAAAAGAATTATATGAGGAATATACTCGTCAAAGATGTTTTTCAGCTGTTGCATAATATTATTCACGGTATCATATGTTAAACTAATGACTTACATATTTATCTCCTTCATGGGTTCTGTTTTGTTTGGTGTTTGTTGTTGTTGTTGTTTGTTTGGGACTTTTCTTTGTGGCATCTTTCCATATCTTTAACTTGACATCGACGCACTGCCAAGAGGCGGTCGACTGGGAGTCAAGACTCCTTTATTGCCGTACACACCGCCATTCAACAATGCAACTAACGCGCATAATTGTAACTCCAATTCTTCCACACTGACCTAGAATATTACTTTGACTGTTAAAATGGCCCTGGGTAGGACGAGTCTTGTACTCAATGGATGAGGCCATGTATTTGGACATGGAGAAGCGTCATGACTCATGTTATCTAACATTTAATGGAACTCAATACATATCTAAGTGCATCTTATCTGACATTTAATGGAACTCGATACATATCTAGGTGCATGTTACCTGACATTTAATGGAACTCAATACATATCTAAGTGCATCTTATCTGACATTTAATGGAACTCGATACATATCTAAGTGCATGTTATCTGACATTTAATGGAACTCAATACATATACATATCTGACATTTAATGGGTGCATGTTATCTGACATTTAATGGAACTCAATACATATCTAAGTGCATGTTATCTGACATTTAATGGAACTCAATACATATCTAAGTGCATGTTATCTGACATTTAATGGAACTCAATACATATCTAAGTGCATGTTATCTGACATTTAATGGAACTCAATACATATCTAAGTGCATGTTATCTGACATTTAATAGGACTCAGCACATTTCATAGTGCAAGTTACCTGACCTACTCGAAATGATAAGAATAATGGTTAGACTGTACATAATCTATACTGAAAGCCATTAAAAATGCAATTTGACATTCATACTTTCTTTACTCACACTAATTTCAACATATATAAACCTAACTGGCAGATATGTTTTAAGTGAACATCTGTGAATAATTTCATCTGAAAATGTCCAGTCAACAACAACATCAGTGACGCAACAACGACATCACACAAAGGAGGGGGTCACTTGCAGTCAATATCGTGTGTGTCCACCGTGCGCTGCAAGACATGCTCGCAGTCTTTGGGGCATTGAAAGACACACATTTCTCAGGAACAGCTGTTGGATGGTCTGCAGCCTCTGATGGTCTGTGGTCTGATCATGACACCACCCCCTCCAAAACGATCATGTTCAAGGACACAGTTTGGCGCAAGTCTTTCTCCTTTACGTCGATAAATCTGTTGACGTCCATCTGCAAAGGATAAGTTAAACCTGGATTCATCTGAAAAAATGACATCTGGCCATGTCCTGTTGCCAAGATTGGCCCCATTTGCTGCCCATCGCTGTCTGGCAAGTCTGTGGCGATGCAATAAGGTTGGACCACGGTACGGGTGACGACACCGGATGTTGAAGGCAGCAAGGCGTCCTTGCACCTTTTGGGCGCTGAAATGACGTTGACTTGTCCCAATTGTCCTCCTTGCCTAATCATCAGCTGTTTGGAACCGATTTCGCAAGTGTGAAACTCGGATATTGCGGTTTTGTCGAGCTGTTATCACAGGTGGTGCACCAGGTCGCGGACGATCAGCAACACTTCCGGTAGCCCGAAAACGTTGTCTGAGTCGACTTACAGTGGATGGATGCACATTAAAGTGCCTGGCAATCATCACATCTGAAGCACCTTGGCTGACCATACCGATAACCTGATTCCTTTCGTCTTGTGTCAAGTGTGGCATTTTCTCAAAGTGATTGAGTTCCACAATTCCTTGTGCTTTTACAGGGCCTGGGTGCAGGTAATGCATGTGCACAACGTGTTTCATGAATGTGGTTGTGTTTACGAGAAATGTCAAAGGTTCAGTTTTAAGTATCAAAGTTCATGTGAGAGGAATGCTCCGGGACTCGAACTCGAAATGGGCCAGAATAACAGCCTTTTATCCCTACATCCTCTGTATCGCAGGAAAAATCTTCAATAGAACTTTTGTAAGTTTCAGGACAACAAATACCAATTGCGTTTTAATGGCTTTCAGTATCGCATTAATAATGAACGTGCTCAATCGCTTCCATCGGAGGTGGGGCGGTGGGGTAGCCTAGTGGTTAAAGCGTTGGCTCGTCACGCCGAAGACCCGGGTTCGAATCCCCACATGGGTACAATGTGTGAAGCCTATTTCTGGTGTCCCCCGCCGTGATGTTGCTGGAATATTGCTAAAACCGGTGTAAAACCAAACTCACTCAGTCAGTCCATCGGAGGTGCTCGTAACCTCAACGAACACCTTCACATCGACTTTTATCCGAACCAGAGCGTTTTGCCTTAAGCACACACCACTCATTGGACTCTTACACAATTGTGTAAGACGCGCCGAAGTCTAACTCAAACACGCTCTTCTGACGCGTTGCAACTTTTACCGCCAATGTTTGGGGGACGTGTTGACATAGTGGTGTAGATGTGTTGAGGATGTTGATGTAGAAGCAGCTAGCACGCCTCTTAATCTCTCTATTTCAACTTATTACGTCAACACGTCTTCTGTTACCACTTCTGTTGCAACTACGTCAGCACTTCAACCTGTCAACCTGACTCCCAGCAATCAACATTTGCTCCTGTTGATAATGATGCTGACGCTGCAGACAATCCACTGCGACCAGGAACCTGCTGTCTCTCTCCAAGACCTAATTACTTCCGCAGTTATACACAACCTCTGTACCACCAGAACAGACCGCCTCCGTGGTGTAGTGGTTAGAGCGTCCGCCTGGAGAGCGGAAGGTCGCGGGTTCGATCCCCGACCGCGTCATACCAAAAGACGTTAAAATATGCTACTTGTTGGTCCCTGTCTGGCGCTCGGCATTAATGGGTACAACAAGGACTGGTCTGCTCGGAGTCAGTATAATGTGTCTGAGTAGGGTATTCATGCTTCACTGCGGCATGGTATCTCAGTGGGCTAGCACTATAAAACCAGCCTCAGTCTGGGCTAGTACAAGCAGCCGCACATACACATACACACGCATGCACGTCGTCATATGAGCGAAATATTCTCAAGCACGACGTTAAACCCAATTTCACCTCACCTCACCTCACCACCAGAACAACCTCTTGGAAGACAACATTCAGTTAACCTCACTGTACAATGACTGTGACAATGTACTGCATGTGTATATTAGCTTATGTTATTAGGTTGTTTGAATAAATAATAACCAACCTTGGCGCTATATCGAGGTGATTGATCCTGAAGGCGACAGATGTACAGTTCTGTAGGGACAAGCCGAGTATTAACAGAATCACTGCCAGGGTTCGATTTTCGTAATCCAGAAACCCAATAGGAATGGTACACGCTGCGCATCCAATACTTCCTGAAAATCAAATCATATCTTAACAAACAAACGTCCATAATTACTTCATGGCGATGAATGATAAATAAAACCCGTATCTTTACAGCAAAACGTCCATACTGACTGGTTTCAAGTGGATCAGATCAGATTATTGACTTGATTCACATATATGTGATCATAATTTTCTCGTAAAGATGGCGTCATCATGACATACGTTTGTGATAACATGATGTACGTTGAACCCACTAACCTACGATGAATGTGATAAAGCATTCCTGTTTCCTGTTGAACGCTTACACAGCAATATCCAAACACACTGTATGTGATAGTGGCACGTACATAGGTGAGGTGAAAGTCAGAAGTTGAAAGTCAGATAGAACAAGTATATATGGATGACAACTTCTTCTATTCTAGAGCACGACGTTTCGATACAGGTTCATGGTCTTTTATTCTAGAGCTACCCTTTGTTCTCTATCATCACATTGTTAATCTTGTAAACATTCTATGCTCTGTGTATCATTGGCTTCCACTATCCTCCATGTTTATCCCTGTAATCCTCTGCTACCCTTTATTCACTATCATCACATTGTTAATCTTGTAAACATTCTATGCTCTGTGTATCATTGGCTTCCACTATCCTCCATGTTTATCCCTGTAATCCTCTGCTACCCTTTATTCACTATCATCACATTGTTAATCTTGTAAACATTCTATGCTCTGTGTATCATTGGCTTCCACTATCCTCCATGTTTATCCCTGTAATCCTCTGCTACCCTTTATTCACTATCATCACATTGTTAATCTTGTAAACATTCTATGCTCTGTGTATCATTGGCTTCCACTATCCTCCATGTTTATCCCTGTAATCCCTCTGTTATCCCTTTATTTGTTATCATCACATTGTTATTCCTCCTTGCCTTGTTAATTTGTCTTGTATATATATCACCTGTTCTCTCCCTGTACCATTCTTACTTGAAAACGATACATGAACCTGGATCGAAACGTTGTGCTCTAGAATAAAGAAGTTGCCATCCATATATACTTGTTCTAAGTTCTAACATCTTGGTAATGACGTCAATGATAACGAACATTCACGATAGCAGATACGTGCTAATAAACCATATAAACTCTGGTAAACCATATTACACGTGACATACTCAAAGACAAAAGAAAGGAAGAGACATTTTGTCCCTGACGCCACGATGACGTACCCAGGAGCTGGAACGTCTTCCTTGCATTGGCTGTAGACAGGAGTCCCCTGATGAGCACCCAGTCAGATATGTAGCCAGAAGCTATACCTACCAGCAACCTCCCAGCAAACGGAACTGATGACAGTATACCATCCTGCAATACCATGTTATAACATATTGTACTGGCTGACTGAGTTTAGTTTTACGCCGCTTTTAGCAATATTCCAGCAATATCACGGCGGGGACACCAGAAATGAGCTTAACACATTGTGCCTATGTGGGGAATCGAACCCGGGGCTTCGGCGTGACGAGCCAACGCGAACCACTAGGCTACCCCACCGCCCCTATAACATATTGTAACGTTGTGTAGACGACACAGCATCAGTGATTACATTTTCTGTTATCGTCTTTCTTTTAAAATAGAAAACGACAGTTGAAGTTATTGTGATATTTTTACCACTGCATTAATTTCATAGTGTGCCGTTTTATTTCTTGACATACATCTGTCATCTCTTTCGAAGTTTTCATTCAAATATGACTGGGAGTTGGGGTTAAGAGTTATTCATTAATCATTATAATTATAGAGGAAATCCTGACGTAAAAAGGTTGCGGTGGGGTGGCCTTCGCTCGTCAAGTTGAAGCCCCGGGTTCGATTCCCCAATGGTTACAACGTGTAAAGCCCATTTCTGGTGTCCCCTATCGTGATATTGCTGGTATATTACTAAAAGCGGCGTAAAACTAAACTCACTCACTGACATAAAAAGCAAGACATGCTCCACTAACACTGCAACATACGATCACAGGTATTTTGCTGTCATTCACAAATAAAGATCAGGACCAATCTAGGCATCTAAAAAACGATACTCGTATAGTGGAACGGCTTTCTGACGCGTCTTTGATGGTTTATTCTTTTATCAGGACGACTTCGTTTCTTGATTCGGTTTCAACCCTCATCATCACCTCTTCAATATCATACTTCAGTATCTGCTTCATGTATTTAGGCAGGTACGCCATGACCCATGACGTCACCCAGGAGTAGCAGATGTGGGCGACCAGGATGGCCCAAAACGCCGGGGACGTCCATATCTTTCTCCAAGGCGGCCGTGACATCTACAAGTTCAACGTTTACGTATAAATGGGTACGTTTCTATATGATATACGATAAGATAGGATATATAACTTTATCTATGGACATTCCCCTGATGAAGGAGCATGAATTAGCTCTGAAACGTCGAATAAAGAATAAAAGTTGTTGTCCATAAAAACTTGTTATGTATATTTACGGTCGTTCTGAATGCCTTTCACGAACTTTATCTATGGATATTACGTTTAGTGACAGTTATGCCGTGGACCGGAAAAATTACTTTTCCCTTACTTTTGTCATTTGGGATGCAGTATATAAAAGTTGAAAAATCAAATGTTTCGATGATACATACATTACCAATGTACATAATACGTTTCTGTAAATGAAACAACACTCAAATCGGTCACGAAGATGTGGTTTTCAAATAGCAGCAAAGGAAAAAACCTCGTGGTCAGATGAGTTCTTGAGGGTAGATATATAGATGAATGAGGAGGAATGCTAATCAGCAATATGCTGTTATATAGCGCGATCTTCGAGACCAGTCAGTCTAGTGGTTGACGTCATCAGCATCGGTCTATGCAACCCTGACGGAATGACATGCACAGAGAAAGTTGACCACCTCCGTGGTGTAGTGGTTAGAGCGTCCGCCCGGAGAGCGGAAGGTCGCGGGTTCGATCCCCGACCGCGTCATACCAAAAGACGTTAAAATATGGTACTTGGTTTTCCTTGCCTGGCGCTCGGCATTAATGGGTACAACAAGGACTGGTCAGCTCGGAGTCAGTATAATGTGTCTGAGTGGGGTATTCATGCTTCACTGCGGCATGGTATCTCAGTGGGCTAGCACTATAAAACCAGCTTAAGTCTGGGCTAGTACAAGCAGCCGCACATACACATACACATACACACGCATGCACGTCGTCATATGAGCGAAATATTCTCAAGCACGACGTTAAACCCCATATCACCTCACCTCACCTCACAAAGAAAGTTAATATTTTCAGATAACGAAAGTATTATGTCATCACTAAGTATATGAAACAAGATACATACTTCTGACATACTATCTCACGAACCTTTATGTCCAGTTTCCCAGCAGTCCGATCCCTGGTGAACAGTTTCAGCTCTGACTCCGAGATCCGGGGATGGATCCGTGGAGAGTCGGACACAAACACCACCCAGGGAAACACACACAGGAATGTGAAACCACCTACAGAGGAAACATTTAGTCTGTATTTCAGGGGCGGCGGGGTAGCCTAGTGGTTAAGGGGTTCGTTCGTCACGCTGAAGACCCGGGTTCGATTCCCCACTGGAGCACAATGTGTGAAATCCATTTCTGGCCCCGATTTCTCGAAACAAACTTAAGTTTTTACTCAAATTTCAAAGTGAGTTTGACACCTTGAAACAGCTGAATTTTTAACTCAGCTGCATTTTAATAATAAAAAAGCCCCAACAGCTTAATTATTTTATTCACCAAACTCAAATTGTCTACTATGTTTGAGTTTAATATCGATTTCAGTTCATTCTGGGAAATGCGTTTTCTCAAATTTGAGTAAAAATTCTAACTTAAGTTAAAACTTTAACTTAAGTTTGTTTCGAGAAATCGAGCCCTGATCTCCCCCGTGATATTGCTGGAGTATTGCTGTAAGCGGCATACAACTAAATTCACTCGTCCCATGTATTTGTAGGTTATAGAAAGTACAGCCCCACTGAAGTTTGCGAGACAAATCATATGCAGTATTAAAAAACCAACTGGCATTCATATCGGATGTTACTTCACCTTGTACTAAATCTGTTCATCAGCAAACATCAAATTAAGGGTCTTTGGATTTTACAGTCCACTAGCATCACAGTTAAGAGAGGTTAATGATGTGGGTAAATTAAAGAATTCGGAAAACCTTTTCCCCAAACTAAATCTCTTACGCTTCTTTTATAGTACATAGCACATGTTTAGACTTGTGTTTAGGATCTAAACATCTATTCCTGTGTATCAGTGACAGTATCAATACCATATCAAGCTATTAAAAAGGCCTTAGTAAACCAAATTAAGAATTATACCAAACGTTTATCTGTTTTGGGCTTCTTATCTAATCTATACCTTTATCCATATGTATCCATTCTTTCATATACGTCCTTTATTGCTAGTTTAATTATATAAAATGTAAATGCACAGGTACTAACTCAATCATTCGCGAAGAAAGAATTTCAAAGAGCACATATCATTAATTAACACACCGTTATCATCACAACGATCATAGTAGAAAATATACAACTGATAAATTCCAAAAGATACATGATTTGATTGTATGCCTGCAAAACCGGAAATAAGAATTGTGTTAAAATCTAAAGGTGTCGATTATTTTCAGTTTGTGTTAGTCGGCTGATCGTCTTTACGGACATTCGCGGAACCTGACGAATTTGTCCAAATGTCGTCTTACCAAACACGTAGAAGATGAGAGGCCATCCGTTGTCCAGGGAGACGGCACCCAGATATCCCGAGATGAAAAATGTAAGAATTCCGGCGATGCTAACACCTGGGGGATTATATACGGTTTAATTCAAACATATTTTAAACTCAAACTCAAAATAATTAAATTCTTAGATTTGCTTTACTGAGAAAGTGTAATCCCAAATATAACATATGTTACAACACAGCTTTATGCAAATCACGAAAACAAATTCTCAAATGCATTCATATTTGGGTGAAATGTATCGTCCATGCCCAAATAAACCAATAATAGTGATTTTGATGTCCATAAGAAATGTTGAAATAAAATTCTGCTTTTGGACATTTTTCAACTATTAAAACAAGAAACAAACTGTTGTAGAGTGTGTAAAATTGTAAAATAATCATTGCTATGATTTCAGTCTTTTAAAACATTTTCTGCTGATTTGCATTAGTGAAAACAAGTAATACGTGTCTTGGATATTGTGAAAAAATGTTTTAGAAACATCTAAAATGATCTTTTTTAACATTTGTGCTTGCAAAGTAACATTTTACCATTCCCATTTTACACATAGCAATATCAATCGCCAAAACGTACCAATATTCAAACAGTATTTACATCCATTTCACATGGAGAATGATTCTATAGGGTATAAAGAGAGCCTAGAAGACATGATCTGATACACAAGTACGAGAAATATGCCACGATTAACAGCTGAGGGGAGAGAAAGAGCCATTTGGGTGGTGCAGATGGGATCGACATGCAATGCTGTTGCCAACGCCCTCGGATGCCACCGTATCACCGTTATAAGACTTATTCAGGGCTTCGGACAGACTGGGGTCACCGGACACAGACCATGAAGTGGACATCCATGCATCACAACGCCAGCTGAGGATAGGTACCTCCAGGAGGGTAACGTTTCTTTGGGCGTTTAGTATATACAAGCATCACATACCATACAAGTAAGCATATGTTAGAGTTATTGCATACCGGAGTAGGCATATATATACAAGCATCACATACCAGGGTATTCATGATATTATGGTCATCACATACTGAAGTAGGCATATGTAAGAGTTATCACATATGGGAGTAGGCATATATATACAAGCATCACATTCATGATATTATGGTCATCACATACTAAAGTAGGCATATGTAAGAGTTATCACATACCGGAGTAGGCATATATATACAAGCATCACATACCAGGGTATTCATGATATTTTGGTCATCACATACTGAAGAAGGCATATGTTAGAGTTATTACATACGGGAGTAGGCATATATATACAAGCATCACATACCGGGGTATTCATAATATTATGGCAATCACATACATAAGTAGGCATATGTTAGAATTATCAAATACCGGAGTTTGCATATATACACCCGTGCATTAATTAAGCACCACCCTATTTTGAAAAAAAGATGTGATGCTACAGAAAAGTTAGGGAATACCCATCAATTTAATCAACCTGTAGTTAAAGAAGCTTTATCCACTGACAGTTTTACAAATACCATAACCTTTTCTATTCTTTATGAAAGAATATGTTCATGAAAATGTGATGGGACTGAATTTTACCAAAAATAACTATTCTTCTCCTGCTCAAACTACACAATTAGATTAAGTTTTGACTAAAAATAACAATTCTGTCATATACCAAGATGACATTTACACATCAAGTAAGCTTTAATTGTGCATTATCAGGAAGAACCCGAATGTCAAAGATTCAGACCTTTTTCAGACAATTCAGATTGCTAATTGACAAAAACTGAAAAAAGCCACATTTATAAGATTTTGGAATAATATTTTTTTATGCTTTTGAGTTTATTGTAATAAATAAACACTTCTCCGTGCCGGATACTGATAATTACAGCTAAAATCTATTTGTTTTGTTTGTAAAGCTTTTACTGCATTTTCAAATTTTCCTTTTTTTAAGTTTGACTGTAACATTTCCTAAATCTTAGGTTACAAACTTTCATCCATTCACAATAAATAACGAAAGTATATACCACACAACAATCAATTATTACTTTCACTTTTCAAAATAAGGCAACTTGTATTAGGACAGAAAAACACCTGTTTTAAATATAGGCAATTATACTAATTAAAGAACATGGAAATTTCAATGATGTTTTCGTTTTTGAAATGTTAAATGCTATCAAAATTAAGGTTATTTTTTGGAAAGAGTTTAGAATTTCATTACAGACAAAATTCATTCGTGAAAATACAGGGTGGTGTTTTATTTATGCACAGATGTATATATTAAAATGATAACATACAGGGGTATTTATATGTTAGGGTCATCACATACAGAAGTAAGGATAATACAGTTATCAGACCCCGCATTGGAATATGCTGTCCCGTCCGAAGAAGGCACGTGTTAGATTTCTCACCCACTGGAGTTGTCATATGTTAGGGTTATCACACACAGAAGTAGGCACGTGTTAGATTTCTCACCCACTGGAGTTGTCATATGTTAGGGTTATCACACACAGAAGTAGGCACATGTTAGATTTCTCACCCACTGGAGTTGTCATATGTTAAGGGTTATCACACACAGAAGTAGGTACATGTTAGAGTTGTCGCATACCGGAGTAGGCACAGGACGTGAGGGACGCCTTCTCGTGTTTCGGAGCCCACTTTGACCACAGTGACTGGATGGCCGGATCAACGGAACCCTAGGACAAAGGGGAGATGCAAGTATGGATGATGACAAAATGCTTTTGTATGTACTAGTAATTCCCTGAGTGACATGCACATTTTCACAACGACTTGACGATCCCATTTTCATTTACCCCGCGTGTATGTCTATTTATATTTAGTTGATGGATTAACCTGGAGATTTATGTGGAATTATGATAGGAAATGAAACAACACATGACATGATATAGTTTCTGAATGAATGAATGAATGAATGAATGAATGAATGAATGAATGAATGAATGAATGAATGGATGGATGATGAATGAATGAATGAATGACATGTGATAGTTTCTGAATGAATGAATGAATGAATGAATGAATGAATGAATGAATGAATGAATGAATGAATGACATTTACCATAACCAGTCCGACGACAGCCCTGAGAACCACCAAAGATAGAGGATATGCTCGTGCTGCTACTGGAGTTGCTATTGTCAGAATGGAACCAACGATGAGGGAGACCGTGATGACAATCTTCCCACCATATTTCCCAGCAACATAGCCACCGATGATCGGCGTTGCTAAGAAACCAAATGTGTAGGACGAGAGAATCAAACCCTCGAATTCTGAGGTCCATGTGAATTCTGAGGTCTGGAAAATAATCACCCTGAATTGATATTGCTGCAATGATTGACGGTGACGTTCCTTAAGTTCGGTTAATTGCCGCCGAAAACCAAACTCGCTTGGTCATTTCATTCTACGTTTTACTTAAGCTTCATTTTTTACCGTAACAATAAGAAGGTTGCAAGATTGAAATACGTTACAGGTTTATTCAAAGAAACATCGGCATCATAAAACGTGTATCATTGGTCACGATGTTTGTTCTGGCGTACTCCTGCAAACACATTAGAATCTGTTCGGTTTCAAAAGTTGTCCTTAACTCTTTGTAAAGACTGATGACAATAGTACATTCTGTAACTTCCAATACGCAATCTATAAATAATAAAATGCTTCTCACACTCAAAACATGGTCAGACAACGTATTGTTCTCTACGACGGGGGAACGTGACGTCACATCGGGTCCGGCGATTGGCATCGTCATAACAACAACCGCCATGCCCATGCACTGCCGTAGCGTAGTTTGGGCGAGACGGACGGAACAGCACAGGTAACCAATGACCCACCGACAGGAAGTGTACTTTTCACAGAAGGATTCATGGTCGGTGCTGTCGACAGTTCCATGTTCTGCGTCAGGCGTTGTATCTGAAAAAGGGTTGATTATCATGACGATGTGTTTCGTTATCCCAAGGCTAACAACCATGCAAATTAAAGTGTTGGATCAAGCGTCCAGGCCATCGTGAAGCTTACATAATCTATTATGTTAGACATGTGAAGATTTTCAAATCTGACGCCTCAGTCACCAAAATCAAGTTTAAGTACATTTTACTTGCCTTTGCGTGTGTTTGGGACAGGTGCTACAGAAAGGACAGTGAGTGAGAATGGTTTTACGCCGCTTTTAGAAATATTCCAGCAATATCACGGCGGGGGACACCAGAAATGGGCTTCACACATTGCAACCATGTGAGCTAACGATTCAACCACTTGGCTACCAACCGCCCCGAGAAAGGACAGAATAGGCTACTATTAGACGGATATTAACACACATTTTGTCTATGATACAGTCGGAATCGAGCAATGGATTCCTGAGATTTCTTATCGACAGGGAAGGTCTTGGATCTCGTGTGCTTGCATCATTGAAATATATAACGAATACCAATGTGTTTATATATACGCACACACACGCACGCACGCTCTTATAGTATCCATTTTCTTCAGTCTAAATATTTGCTGCATGTGCTGGTTTATTGCACTGTGAAACAGGTTTGTTTCTCAACAGCAATGAATGCCTCTCTTGAGGTCAATGCCCGATGCGGTTCTTCAAGATTAGAGACATCCATGTTGAGGTTTTGAAATCCCAGTATGACGTACAAGAACAGGCCTGTCTTTGATGGATGCCAACAGGTGCTCTGGATACAACTAATCACTGGCTCCAAACTTGTATACACTTCGTATGACCGGGGACACGGTAACGCAACATGTATTCAGCTTACGATTTCCCTAAGACGTTTGACAAACTCTTGTAAATTTTTCATTGCCCAGGGGTGTAATTAACCGGATTTCTGGATTTTCAGCATTATTGCAATGTGACACCACAAGGTAAAATATATACAGAACTTCGGCGTACTTTAATTTGGCTACAGAATGCTATTTGCAAAATGTCACCAGTACTTTAGTAATGTCTGTGATAGACATTTCTTTCTACAGTCTGAAACATAATTTTTCGGCAAAAACCTCCCATAACCCTCAGTTAGTGAGTGAGTTTAGTTTTACGCCGCACTCAGCAATATTCCAGCTGTACGGCGGCGGTCTGTAAATAATCGAATCTGGACCAGACAATCCAGTGATCAACAGCATGAGCATCAATCTATGCAATCGGGAACCAAAGACATGTGTCAACCAAGTCAGCGAGCCTGACCACCCGATCCCGTTAGTCGCCTCTTACGAAAAGCATGGGTTACTGAGTGAGTGAGTGAGTTAATATTTAACGTCACATCGGCAATATTTCAGCAATATCGTGACGAGAACATATGGGTTACTGAAGATCAATATTCTAACCCGGACCTTCACGGGTAACCACCCCTCAGAATAGTGAGTGAGTGAGTGAGTGAGTATAGTTTTACGCTGCTTTTAGCAATATTCGAGCAATATCAGTACGGGGGACACCAGAAATGGGCTTCACACATTGTATCATTGAGAATATCTAACCTCCAAAGGGCGGAGGGGTAGCCTAGTGGTAAAGGGTTCCCTCGTCATGCCGAAGACCCGCGTTCAATTCCCCACATGGGTACAATTTCTGGTGTCCCCCGCCATGATATTGCTGGAATATTGCTTAAAGGGGCGTAAAACTAAACTCACTCACTCACTACAACGTCCGCGATTGTTCACGATGCCACAGTTTTAACACAATACGTCATCTGGCCCCGATTGTACTGAACAATCCTAGTGAACAATCGATCTTAGGCCCCGCACAATTGTTTTACTCCACTTACATTGCAATAATCATAGCGCTGAGATAGAATTGTGCGTGTGGACCCTGAACGTTAGACTGTCTTCACTAAAATTTCTCTCTGATGTTAATTTTTCTTCTTTATTTTCTCTCCTAACATGTCAGTAGGTAAATTATAAAGAACCTGCTCAAAACTGGAAAGTACGAGATACCCTGTCCCTCGCTAATGAATGTTTAAGTCCGTCGCCAAAGGCACAGGATTATTCATTCATTCGAAAACCAAAAATGTGTAACTTATTGTAGCTTGTTGGTTATTCTCAAAATTTTATCCAAAGGTCACGAAACGTGGTTCAATAGGAACAGAAATATTATGGAAAGACGAGTCCATGGTTAATGGAATATATACAACACACATAAAACCATTCATTGAATTAATACTAGATTGTCAACAAAAGGAACTCATTTGTTACAACGTGAAAATAATAAACTTAATTTCAGAAGATTTTACGATTGCCTACCTTTGAGACCCATGTTTTTACATTCACCTCCTGCTGCACCATCAACATTTGCGAAATGAATGTTTAAAAAGCAAGATTTGGCATTATATACACAAAGCAGGGGTGCGTCTGAATCTTTAAACAGCCAATTTACATATGACCCCCCGCAATGACAGGACATCCCGGCTCGCTCTTCTTCATCACCCTTTGAAGGTCTCGCGTGACTTGTTGCTCCTGGTTGGTTGTAATAGATAACGTCGGTTATATCCTGTCTTAGCTGTTCTTTACATGAGTAAAAATATGCCTCACTTTGTCAGTCGGAATTTTAGATTAATTTACGGTTTAAATAGGGCACGGTAAGGTGCTATTAATGCCACTATCGATTCCTTTTCACCAAAGGAAGGTTCCTTGATATTTTCATAAACAGTTGATCAATAAAGCACAGTATTATAACACGGTTGTCCTTTATAAATGGACCTAGCAATAATTGAAATTTAAGCTATAAAATTAGAAAGGAAGATATAGCAGGAATACGAAAATGTGACCAAAAATAGATTGTGTTGATGATCACAAGCTTGTGGCGTGCAGTATGTAAGTATGTCGTAATTTACTATATATACGGCGTGTCACACAGCTATAACTTGCAATATGGCCAAAATATATTGTATATGTACAAAACTTTGACGATCTGCTTCAATCTATGACCAAACTGCAAAGAGTGTAAGTTATAGTTTCTCTGGCTCCAGTGACAAGTGGGTAGGATAGGCTGGAGTTAGTGTGGCTGTACTCCGTCCCAAGTCCTGTGGAAACAAACCCCCATCCAGCCCTATCCACTGTTGAACTTTGAAGTAAATACACAGAGTATGCTGTTTGGATGATGACGATACTATTGGCGGTAAGACAAAAACGTGGACAAATGTCATGTATTAGTCAGGCTGTGAAATTGACTGCACCCCAACATATTAAAGCCTCCAACGAAATTATCAGTATACAGAAAGACAAGTGCTTTTTCATCAGCCACATTTCCTCCTGTGATGCCTTTTTGGAAAGTGCTTCGGCTTAGTGCTTGAAATGAGGATCAGTTTCCTCACTGAAGCTTCTCTCCAATTCCATATAAATGATATGTGTCACAGCAAATATCATACACGTATCACCTAAATCAAAAGGCAATTATAGAAAGTTTATTCCAAACAGGTGATCACATCCTACCATAATGGAATGATGAGTTTAGTTTTACGCCGCACTCAGCAATATTCCTGCTATATGGCAACAGTCTGTAAATAATCGAGTCTGGACCAGACAACCTAGTTATCAACAACATGAGCATCGATAACGCAAGGGGGATACGATGACATGTGTCAACCAAGTCAGTGAGCCTGATCACTCGATCCCGTTAGTTGTCTCTTACGACAAGCATGGGTTACTGAAGATCAATATTCTAACCTGGATCTTCACGGGTCACCACGATGGAAACCACATCAAAATGCGCGCGAGATTGCGGTCTGCAGGTCTGAGGGTACATCATCCGATCAGACGTCCCTTCCTCACAGACAGCCACAGGCAGGAATGTCTGGCGTGGTGCAGGCTCCGAGAAAACCGCATCTTAAGGACATGGCGTAGGGGTCTTTGGTCTGACAAATGTTGCCATCTTTTGCACATTGTCGCGTGTGGAGACGTCGAAACAAGACATCTCACTAGGAGATGATCCTTCCAGATGAACCCTTTGGTGGTGTCTCAGTGATGGTGAGTGAGTTCCGTATTGATACGGCAAGTTGGATCTCATTACGTACCTGCGACACTCAACGGTCAACGTTGGATGCCAGAGTTCATAACCATCCCCTTACCAGTCGACCCCATCGTTCTCATCACCCATTTGCAGAACAACGCCAACAAAATATTGCCATGGCTAGTAGGGACGCCCTGAACGAACCACATCGAACATCTTTGTAACTGTCTTTGACGCCAAGTTCGACCTAGAGACCCTCCTGTTCAAAATCTGCTGGAACTGACGCAGGCATTCCATGGTGTACGACTGCGTGGGGATTCCGATGCTGGGAATTCGACGCTTGATACCAGTATGAGGAAGAAACTGGCTGATGTTATCCATGCCACGGATACAAGTACTGCTGTGGATACAGGTACTGCTGTGGATACAGGTATTGCTGTGGATACAGGTACTGATGTGGATACAGGTATTGCTGTGGATACAGGTACTGATGTGGATACAGGTACTGATGTGGATACAGGTATTGCTGTGGATACGGGTACTGCCGTGGATACAGGTACTGCCGTGGATACAGGTACTGATGTGGATACAGGTACTGATGTGGATACAGGTATTGCTGTGGATACGGGTACTGCCGTGGATACGGGTACTGCCGTGGATACAGGTACTGCCGTGGATACAGGTACTGATGTGGATACAGGTACTGCTGTGGATACAGGTACTGCTGTGGATACAGGTATTGCTGTGGATACAGGTACTGATGTGGATACAGATACTGATGTGGATACAGGTACTGCTGTGGATACAGGTACTGATGTGGATACAGATACTGATGTGGATACAGGTACTGATGTGGATACAGGTACTGCCGTGGATACAGGTACTGCTGTGGATACAGGTACTGCTGTGGATACAGATACTGATGTGGATACAGGTACTGATGTGGTTGCCAGTGGTGGTTCATACAATCACAACAAATATTCTGTGACAAACTTATCAGGTAAATAACAAGCGTGTGTAGTGAATTTTTTTAATTTCACACGTGCAACTCGCACACCTGGCTGTTCTACCAGCAAGTGATCTACCACTTTCGAAATGGCATTGAGTAATCAAGTGATCCCCCCTCGTAAGAAATAGCGACAAGTGACAACAAAATAATGATCGTTTGTTAAACAACTTTTTTATTCGGGTGTTCAAAATTATGGGACAAATCATTAGAGTTGGTCGGTCGATTTCATGGGGCTTTGCAAAATCTGGTTTTGTTGCATTTATTAGATATTGTGTTTGAGAGCAACTTATCGGTCTCAAATGAAATCAAGCGGACTATAGTATATCTTGTTTTTATAACTGTTTCCGCTCCATATATACTAGGCACATAAAGAAACTGTGCATACAAAAAATTAAAATCTAAATTTATCAAACCTGTGTAGACACATAAGGATTTAAACTCAGAGAATAGTGACATGTATCCAACATGCATGCACGTGCCACGTTCCGTCACGTCAGTGGGTTCGTCCTTGAGACGTGCAATACGTTGTTGCACGTGCATTCCGGGAGAGAGAAACAGAGCAAATGAATGCCACACAATACTGTCACTTTGGAAAGCTCAACCCCTGCCCTTGCGATCGTTCAAAACATTAAACGGCTGTTGAAACGCATAGCATCCCAAGGCTCACGTCTGCACAACGTCTTGAGGCCATTGGGATGGTCCGTGGGGAATGTCTCAACGACAAGTGGCTGCACGTCCACGTGTAACAACGCCAAGACAGGACATATGGATAAGGGTGACCCATCTTCGCCACAGGTTTCAGACTGCAGTGATGACTGCCCGGACCATCCCAGGACTTCACCGTATCCACCCCAACACAGTTCGACAACGTTTACGTCATCACGGGATCAGACCACGACGTCCCGCCATACGGCCTAGCCTGACACAACGTCATCGACAAACTCGCCGAATGTGGTGCCGAAATCATGTCCGCAGACCCTTGTTTTGCTGGAGAAATGTTGTTTTTACAGATGAGTCCAGGTTTAACATTTCCCATAGTGATGGACGTCAACGTGCCTATAGACGCGTGGGAGAACGTTATGCACAGGCCTGTGTCTTGGAGAGGAATCGCTTTGATGGTGTTCCGTGATGATTTGGGGTGGAATAACAGCACGCCAAAGAATTCCTTTGGTGATTGTTCAGGGCAACTTAACTGGTGTGGGCTACAGGGATCAGATTCTTCGACCTGTGGCAATTCCTTTTCTGCAACGTCATTGCCCTGGGTTAACATTCCAACAGGACAATGCCCACCCTCATACGGCAAGGGTTGCTATGGATTTCTTGCAACACCACAACGTTGACTTGACCAGCAAATTCACCGGATCTCTCCCTGATATAGCATGTTTGGGACGAGATGGATCGACGTCTACGCCGTCTTCTTCATCCGCCAGATAACGTCCTTGACCTTGCAACAGAACTTGAGAGAATCTGGCGTGACATCCCACAAGCCTTCCTTGCACGTTTGATAGGCTCTATGCGTCGTCGAAGCACTGCTGTTCTCAATGCCGATGGTGGACATACCCGTTATTGAGCTTGTGACATGGTCGTGTGCCCCCTGTCCCGCTTGTGGACTCGTGACGTCATTGTGATTGACTTTTCAATTGAAATTCTCCCGACTTATGGTCTCATGATCCCTCCATTAAAGTTTATATGTACCTTTGACATTGTTATCGTACTTATCAACTGGGATAATATTTTGACAATGCACAATTTCTTTATGTGGCTAGTGTACTTCAACAGATTTTTATTGTGTCACTTAAGCAATACTACTGGACATGAATATGTCTTTTGCCTTTTGTTTGTGGTTGATTTACACATTGACTGAACTAAACCGCAGAAAAGGACATTATTCACCTCAAATAATAACTTGTCTAAACGCTATACAGTAAGATGTCAAACTGACACTGTTTCCAATATTACCGTAAATTTCTGTACATCACCAGGACAAGCAAAAAGCAGTTGGAAGCTCTGCTGATAACATTCTCGTATTCGTGGCAAAACTATTTCGATGACTTCTTCTTCTGAACTTCTGAACGAGGAAACACATTTTGAAGGAAGCGATTTAATAAATCACCGGTGTCTATTTCATCCTTGAGCCCTTGAACTCAAGAAAGCAGTCAGTAAACATCCTGTATTCACAGGACGTCCTTGTGAGAACTTGCAAGCTGCACCCAGTCACATGCTGGATCTGACATCCAGCAAAACGTTTTCTAGCTTCCGGGGCAAGAAAAACGTATAATGTATTGGTGTGTCCACGTCAAAAATAGAAGACTACATCACTTGCATGTGTAAACATCCTTGACGATGCTACAAGAGTGAATAGGTAGGAAAGAGGGGGAGGGGGGAGGAGGTTGACTTATTTGTTGAAAATCTGTGTGACTATAGTCTGTTTGCATTGAAAACGTACCGATGAATGTCAATTTAAACAAAAAAGTAAATCGAATAAGATGAAATTAAGATTGCGAATCCTCATAATTTTACCTTGCCAACTGAACATTTAAATCTCAGAATTTTATTCAACTTAGGACAAAAGTTGTTTAACCAACGATCATAGTTTCAAATCGCTATTATTGGTTTGTATTACAAAGGTGTATGCACATTAAATGAAACAGCGGTACATGTAGGGTTGCCCCCTTGCTCTTGCCCCCTTGTAATACAAACCAATAATAGCGATTTGAATGTATGATCGTTCGTTAAACAACTTTTGTCCTACAATAAATAAAATACTGAGATTTAAATGTTCAGTTGGCAAGGCAAAATTATGAGGTTTCGCAGTCTTAATTTCACTTTATTTGATTTACTTTTTTGTTTAAAGTGAAATTCATCGGTACGTTTTCAATGCAAACAGACTATAAGGTGAACTATGACATGATATTACATGTTTGTCTGACGACGTTCCTCGGCCATCAGCTCCATCTTCCTTCTGGTACGGGTGGAACGTTTGAATGGGTTAAAAATGTCTGTCTTGTCTGATGAAGTTACTGTTTAGTACTGTCGTTAATTAAATCAGTTCAGAAATCATGAAAATTACATCCCAATGTGGTTGGTGCCTTTGCATTCCAATATGTTGGAACCCGTGAAGGTCCGCGCTAGAATGAGCCTTCAGTTACCCATGCTTGTCGTAAGAGGCGACTAACGAGATCGGGTGGTCAGGCTCGCTGACTTGGTTGACACATGCCATCGGTTCCCAATTGCGCAGATCGATGCTCATGCTGTTGATCACTGGATTGTCTGGTCCAGACTCGATTATTTACAGACAGCCGCCATATAGCTGGGATATTGAGTGCGGCGTAAAACTAAACTCACTCACTCACACCAATATGCTGGTGGACCAATAATTGTATCAAATACCCTTAGATTCAGGTGATGCGTAATAACTGCTTATGAATATATGTGTATACGTCAATTTATTTGTCTTAGACCTGTTCATACCGCAACATGAAACCCTTAATTTCAACCAAAGCTCAGTTTGCTAATGTAAAATCTGAAAACACACCCAAATAGCACAACCCACCAGGTTCAGCCAAAAAATACCACAACTGCACATTGACTTTTTTCATTTCATTCCTATCACTTTCAGGCACCGAGAAGAAATTGAACTTGAAAATGTTCTAGCCAAAGGGATCCCAGCAGTTTCTAGGGGTCGTGCTGCTTTGTCTTAAATGGCAGTGGTCTACTGCATCGAGGTGTTTACAGCTGCACTCTGTCCCTTAGGGGAACACTGTCGTTTTATATTAAGGCATCCATATCGTGAAGTGTGTGCATCCGTTTCCTTTCCAACAGGTTGGGCATTGTCGTTTTTCATCTTGCTGGTTTTGCCATACTTCTGCCGGAACCATCACCATCATGTATAGGATGGGTATGTGCACGATGCCCTTTGGCCGTGGTAGTTTTGAAGTAAACAAAAAGAACAAATAAGAAGCCAAGGTGACATACCCATAGGCTTCCAAAATGAAGTATGTCTGTCCTGGAAAGGCTTGTCTGACCAAGTGATCAATGTGAGACGCCTCCTACTGTTTTTAAACAGGATTGCTTAAAGCGCATTTAAACTAATGGTTCGAAGGTGTGTAAAGAGGCAAAGGTGTTTCATGTCAAGGCCAGCACAGACGTGCTGTGACGACTTCCTTCGTAAACCATCCCAGTACGTCGGCCACTTCATGCTTGATATTGTCGGCCAGCAAATCATCTATGATCCACCAAAATAGCGCAGGCAAACCATCAGCCCCACCTCCTTCATGGGCAGGAACAGGTAACTGACTGTTGGTTTCACCCATGGTTTGCACAAACATGAGTGAAACCCCTGCCTGGATGTCAGAACTTCCAAACCCTCATGCAAGGGTTGCCATTCATTTTACACCCAAACGATCTCCTGAGGTGGGATGTCAAGGATCTCTGGTTGAAACACTTGTTCCATAGTTCCAACACTGTTGGTCCTCCAATCAACATAGACTGACTGACTGACTGAGTTTAGTTTTACGCCGCTTTTAGCAATATTCCAGCAATATCACGGCGGGGGACACCAGAAATGGGCTTAACACATTGTGCCCATGTGGGGAATCGAACCCGGGTCTTCGGCGTGACGAGCCAACGCTTTAACCACTAGGCTACCCCACCGCCGATTTTCCACATAGAAAAAGGATGGCGTTAACTTAGTGGGGTGACCATTGCCTCCACCAGGTCCATGCTGTGGATACCCGGGAAGATCCGGGGTAGAATGGGTCTTCAGCAACCCATGCTTGCCACAAAAGGCGACTAACAAGATCGGTTGGTCAGACTCGCTGACTTGTTGACACGTGTCATCTGTTCCCAATTGCTCAGATCGATGCTCATGCTGTTGATCACTGAACTGTCTGGTCCAGACTCGATTATTTACAGACCGCCACAATATAGGTGGAATATTGCTCAGTGCGGCGTAAAACTAAACTCACTCCATGCTGTGGATAGATTTTAAACAAACTTTGGTCCAGCATTGACGGAAGTTGTGAATGCTCTCCGTATTCAGCAATATTCCAGCAATGTCAGAAGTGCATTATCCTATACACAGTAAACTATGGTTACAGTGAGTGAGCGAGTATGGTTTTATACGTCCTTTACCAATATTCCAGCAATATCACGGCAGGGGGGGGGGTGGGGAAAACAAGAAATTGGCTTCACACATTGTACCCATGTGGGGAATCGAACCCAGGTCTTCAGCGTGACGAACTTACGCTTTAACATTAGGCTACACCACCACCCATAAACTGAGGTTACAAGCTCAAAAGGATCACTAATTTCATTTACTTAAATGCTTTATTTTTGTTTGGTCACTAAACTATGCAGTTAGAGGTTCTTCAAACTGGTTGTATCTGTCAAACGAATTGGTCATAAATGTAGTTTACTGTATTTACAGGATAATCTTTATTTAAAAACGCTAATAATGGAACAACAACTCAAGGTGAGGTGAGGTGAAATTGGGTTTTTACGTCGTGCTTGAGAATATTTCGCTCATATGACGATGCTTGCGGCTGCTTGTACTAGCCCAGACTTAAGCTGGTTTTATAGGGCTAGCCCACTGAGATACCATGCCGCAGTGAAGCATGAATACCCCACTCAGACACATTATACTGACTCCGAGCCGACCAGTCCTTGTTGTACCCATTAATGCCGAGCGCCAGGCAGGGACCAACAAGTACCATATTTTAACGTCTTTTGGACGCTCTAACCACTACACCACGGAGGCGGTCAACAACTCAAGGGCCTATGTAAATCACTTAAATTCATGGTGCTGTTTCACAAAGTGATCTTAGCCCTGAGGTGATCTAACTCCCGTACCTTTGATAGGCTAATAGCTCACCAGGGATAATGACCGTTTTGGCTAAGGTAGGCAACTCTCCCTACACACCATATATTTTGCCTTGTCATATTGGGGTCATGTTTATTTTTCTTCTGCTAAACAGACTGCAAAAAACAATAACACAAAAAAACACGTAATGTTGTTTAATTCTTTCCATGACACATGTAATTGCCCAATGATCATCAAGAGGAATCTCACCGTGTACAATTATATGTTCTCAATACATGAATTACCAACAACCAGCCACTCAAACAAGATCCTTCAAGTCAAGACACCTTTAATCCGTATTTGCTACAGTAAGAATATCTTGTGTATTGTAAACAACGGGACAGACACAAATAACATGTTTGAAACACTCCTATCACCATTATCTGAAACAACTGTAATAGGATTTTTTACCAATCAGGGCCCCGTTCCTCAAAGCGATCGTAGCTCTACCACAGTCATAAGTCTATGTTAAAGCATGGGAGTTACGACTGTCGTAGCACTACGATCGCTTTTAGGAAGGGGGTCCTGGATCCCATTTCACAAAGTGACCCTAATGCTAAGATTGTCGTAAGTCATATACCATAACACTGACTTACGACAATTGTAGCGTTACGATTGCTCTGTGAAATGGGGCCCAGATTATCAACTCTGCTCTATGGTAACAACATACTGGCACAAAAGTGGCCTAAAGCGCCGTTAACAACCTCCCCGGCTGATATGTATGGCTAGAAATACGATGGCAACAACACTTAGACAGATTTGTTCATCATATACAGTTACATAGAATAGTATTTGATTGCTATGTTCACAACGCACACAGTATGTACACAAGCTATTAATACAACTAATACACTACTATCTAAAAGGTGTCTTAACCTGAGTAACTTATAGGGCCGACAGTGTTGAACTATAGCATCTCTGTACAGATGAGCACCGACACTACATAAAGTCCTTTGTGGATCTATTGTGCAAACTCTCAGTCATCAATACATAGCACATATGATGCTTGGGTTCCTCAGTATAGTCTGTATTTGAAAATACATCCCACTGAAGTGAAATTGAGTAATCACATCTGACAATCACACTCTCACACAAATACAAACAGAAATTGCTTGCTTTTAAATTGAAGGGAGACAACTCCATGTGCAACACTGAGCAGAAATTCAACATTGTTGATAAAATTTGGTGGTTACACCCACAACATACTTTTACAGATTTCTCTGTATAAACAAAGGCAAACATTGGTGTTGAGAGAAATATTAAAGTATATTTCAAGAGATTGTCAAAAATGTGATAATTGTTATGTTGGTTTTATGAACTGCTCTCAATTTCCATGAAAGTGCTTTCACTAAATCAGACATTTCCCAATGACTGAAGAAAACTGCCCATCTCAGAAATGGTGACGAAAATGTTTTACATGGTGACTGTTAAACAATATATACACATGTATCTGCATCACTACCAGAATCATCATGATGACTGAAACTTTGCACCACTGGCTTCGTTTTTCCAAAAATATCCACAGACATATGAAGCTTGTGCCCTTTTTCGCTAACAATTCTGATTCTCAAATTTCCTACCAGAGCATAATGTCCGTACAGTAAAGCATATATACAGGAATCTACCATGAATACCTAATGTCTAAAATATGCTTTGCGAAATGTCTCATGAACTTCATCTTAGGATTGTCATACTCCTGCTTAACCTCAAACAAACCATACCAACGTACTAACACATTTTCTCTTACTTTATTTTCAAAAACAGATTCAAACAAATGAAGAAATCAAGATGTACAAAAGATACTCTGGTTTCTCTATAAAACGTGGCTTTTTAAAAAAATTCCTATGGTAACCAAATGTTTAATCACTTGGATCCAACAAGTTTCATGAGGCCTGGTGTGTCGAAGGACTTTGGTCTTTCTATGGGAAGCCCGAGCGCCCTGTCCCAGATGAGAGAGGCCATGCAGCCTAGAGCCCGTGATACTCCAAACAGTACAGTGTAGTAGTTCATCTGTGTCAGCTTGTAGTACTGAAATTAAAGACACCTAAACATTGGCTGAAGTTCTTGAAAAGCATTTAGAAGTTGGATGAGTGAGTGAGTGAGTTTAGTTTTACGCCGCACTCAGCAATATCCCAGCTATATGGCGGCGGTCTGTAAATAATCGAGTCTGGACTAGACAATCCAGTGATCAACAGCATGAGCATCGATCTGCGCAATTGGGAACCGATGACATGTGTCAACCAAGTCAGCGAAACTGACCACCCGATCCCGTTAGTTGCCTCTTACGACAAGCATAGTCGCCTTTTATGGCAAGCACATGGGTTGCTGAAGACCTATTCTACCCCGGATCTTCACGGGTCAGAAGTTGGATGAGGATGACTACATAAGAAGTGGTTCTGGATAACAACTTCTTTGTATTCTTTATCCACAGAAAGGAACAAGAACTACCTCTGAATCATCATGATAAAGAGTGAGTGAGTGAGTGAGTTTAGTTTTATGCCGCACTAAGCAATAATCCAGCTATATGAGCATCGATCTATTGGGGATACAAGAACATGTGTCAACCAAGCTAGCGAGCCTGACCACCCGATCCCGTTAGTCTACTCCTACGACAAGCATGGGTTAATGAAGATCAATATTCTAACCTGGACCTTCACGGGTCATGGAGGAATCAAGTGTTCCTGAACTTCTTTTGAGTACTATATAACAGATTTCACACAAAAAAACTACAGGACATACATTTCCACACAAGGCAAAACAAAAGAGTGAGATGTCATGACTGGCAATAGTCTTCTGAATTTGAACACAATTATCAGCAATACATTCAAAATAAGTTTATGTTGATTTGAGTTAAGTATACACTGGAAATACTTCAGAGAAGTGTTGTTTAAACATGCTCCAGAGCATCTGCACATTGATTTCAAGTGGAACACTATAGCACTGCTCTCACCTGTAGGAGAACACCGCTGTGTGCATCAACGTTCGGCCATGGGTTCTTGGCCTTGCCTTGTTCTATGAGAATGTCTGGGACAACCTTGTAGATTTGAGACACCAGTTTGAAGAGGGGGTCCTTGGGCAGGTGCTTGAGGGCAAACTCTCTCTGGCAGGTGTAGCGAGGGTCGGTCTTCCTCAACACAGCATGGCCATAACCCGGCACCACCTGAGATGGAAGGTTGGCATTAGCACAACACTTGTGACATGAAACATGGACACATTCACCTTCCCCTGCACGATTTTCACAGTTGACCATGATATCGCAGCGTATGTTTGTACATTAATGTGTTTGTTGTTAAACAACACAGAGGATTATTCCAGCTATACCATGAGTTTTGACCAGACGATCCAGTGATCGATATTATGAACAATAAACCATGCCATATGGGTAAAATGACACAAAAGCAGCCAATACTATGAACACCAGAATCATCTGCTAAGATCCAACCCACCCGGAGCGAGTGTAGGTGTATGCCACTTTTAGCAATATTCCAGCAACATCACGGGCGGGGACATGAGATATGAGCTTCACACATTGTACCCATGTGGGGAATTGAACCCGCGTCTAAAGCGAGAAAAGCGAAACGCTTTAACCACTAGGCAACTCAACCAAACCAGGGCTCGATTTAAGAGATGTTAACCTACTTGCACAGGTGCAACCTAAGATTAAAACCTAGTTGCACCAGTCACATTCCAGTTGCACTGCTTTTATTGTAATATGTAATGAAAGAAATATGCTATTGAATTATTTAGATGTTTTATTTAGAAGTTTACCCACTGAAAAATTGACTTGCACCTGGTGCAAAATAAACTACTAACTAGGTTGCACTTTGTAATAATGGATTGTACCAGTGCAAGTAACAAAGCACTAAATCGAGCCCTGCAAACTGACCCATCCAGGATATACAGCAACTGAAAGAGTCCATGATAAAAACAAAAGGATTAGTACTTTAATACATATATCAAAACAAGTAAAAAAGGCAGCCTTGTGATGTTCAAACCAGAAGCTGTGTCTGATGAGTCACATAGGTTATGCATCTGAAGAGAACAAAGGCTAATTATTATATTGCATAATGCCCATAGTTTCATGAAAATCACCCACCTGTCCTGACTTCAGCGTGTTCCAGATGAAATCGCGGAGCTGGTCATCAGACACCTCTCCTCCGAGCTCCTGCTGTAGCTTGGTCACCCACACAAGTACTTCCTGCCAACAATACAATACAATACAATACAATACAATACAATACAATACAATACAATACAATACAATACAATACAATACAACAATCCAGCATGCCACCATTATTATTATTATAGGATATTTATATAGCGCACATATCCAGGCAACTAGTGCATGCTCAAGGCGCTGGTATTTTTCCCTCGATCATTGGATGTCAATCTCAACGGCACATCGTATTATTAATCTCAACTCCCTAGGGAGTATTCAACTCTTGCAGCCACTAGGCGCACCGAGTTATTGTGGCTTTCTCATTCTAACGAGGTACCCATTCACAGCTGGGTGGACTGGGACACATAGTCACAGTACTTTGTCCAAGTTCACTGCACGTTGCTGTACCCGCAACTAGGTGTTCACACGTATTCATGTGGCCACCATCTGGTCAAATACCAACGGATTCGTGGGTTCTTTTAAGTGCACCGGGTTGTGTACTGTACACTAGGGGTTGTGACAACACTGAAAGAGTCTGCACACAAAGTTGACTCCAAGGTTTTTACACCCGGTCAGAGGTGGGCTCGATCTCGACACCTCAACCTCGCTGGATTACTAGCCTGGCGCCTTAGCCAGCTCGCCCACCGCGCGTTGAGCGCCTCCACATTTGCCACCAGTCCTACCAACACCAACTATTGGCCCATGTTTCAGAGACAATTGTTAAACACTGCATTTTCAGTATTCAAGTTATACAGCAGCAAAGTTAGGTGTTGACATGTTCATAAAACAAAACTTTTATCAAGTGAATTAGAAATACTAACAACATCATGCAGATTTGCCTACGCCCTTTTAAAGAAATTAGTAAGATCAGCTAAAAAAAATAGTAAGGCAGATGTATTTGATAGTAAGGCATGTTAATGTCAAGAAAAAGGAAAGACATTGCTGGTTAAAATCGTAATATAGTGTTTAATAGTAAAATGTGGTGCCGATCTAATTAACGGTTTTTAAAGTCTTTCACTTTGTAACAAACTTTACCAGCACTGGAAGATGCATAGATTATTTATAATGTTTATGATGCGACTTCTGTTTTTCAGTACTTTATGTACCGTAAATGACTCTATAAATAGCATGGGCATGTCTATATCTAGTATTCTACCATTTATTTGTAGAAGTCGTAAGGAATTTCAGTATGATCGTAAGGTTGGAATTTAGCACCAAAAATAGTAAGCCTTATGCCCATTTCGTAAGGATAGGCAAGTCTGCATCATACACTATTTGCCAGACAAATGCACCATGCAGTCATTAAATGAGTATTAGGTAAATTATTTCAGCAAGTGCATTATTTCGCATCGATACAAAACAAAACAAAAACGTGTTCTGTGGTGTCCTTGCATTAGGACAGATAATGTACTTCTGGACTGAAGCATCTTTTCAAACCTGGCAAACTTATTCCTGTACATTTAGCACATGGAAACTGACCTGTTTACATGGACGACTCAAGGATGTCTATGGCCACTCGTTCTTTAATTTGAGATTAAGAAAATCTAGACAGACTAATTTCTTGTTTCAGAATCTAGCTGACTTATACCACTACATGAAGTTCTATATGACCAAAGGTTTCTACTTCTGTTGAGCACAAACATGAATTGTATGTGTAGCGGCCATTCAGTTTCAATGTTAGGATTTGAACCAAACACCCCGAATACCTTGTCCAAGGAGCAACCTAAAAAGGTAAGGACGTCATCTGGCGGATGCCGTAATGTCCTGACGGATTTATATGCCCTGTGTTGAAATGCTTGATTAAACCCCTGTCGCTGAGATACCCTGTGCTCCAACCTGTACAGTCATTACCTGATTTGCAAGGCCGTGGAGGGGCCCAGCAAGGCCATTTATTCCTGCTGTGAAACTGAGGTAGGGATCTGACAGAGCACTGCCAACAAGATGCGTTGTGTGGGCGCTGACGTTGCCTCCCTCGTGGTCACTGAAGGAAAGACGGGATTCGTCATTGAAAACACGAGGAAACACAGAAGAAACCATATTATTTTGCTAATACACAGCCCTAATAACCCTGTACAGGAAGACATCACGAGATGACTTCAGACTGACCTGTGGATGGTGAAGTATAGTCGCATGAGCTCCACAAACGCTGGATCTTCAAAGCCAATCATGTTCACAAAGTTGGCTGTCCAGTCCTTGTTGTTATCAATGGCTGCAGGGGTGGCGCCATCGCGATACAGGTTGTTGTAGATGATGGCTGCAACTGTCGGTAGCTTGGCAATCATGTCCATGGAATCCTCGTATGTGGACTGTCAACAACAAAACCGAAACCATGAACAATCAAAGAGTGAAGGCATTGACAAATTCTCAAGGTACATTACTGCTGTTTGTTTTTTAATGACACACACAGCAATGTTCCAGTTGTATGATAGTGCTCTGTGAATAACAGAGTGGACCAAACAATCCAGTGATTGACATTGACCAGCAGGCCTGACCATCTAATGTCATTAGTTGCCTGTCATCACAAGCATGGATCTAACCTGGATCTAACCTGGATCTCAATGGAGACTTGATCTGGTCAAGCCACAATTGGTCGAAAAGCAAAAGACTGTATATGCAGAGGTTTGCGCGACGAACAAATGTGCATCCAGTAAGCACAAATGTAGAGAATAGACACAGAAAATAAATTCACTGCATCCAGAGGGGCACAATATTATTCACTGTAGCCACAAAACATCTATGACTTTGCTAAGTGTTTGGTTGTTTCTTTCAGAGCAGTAACGTGCATCATTTTAACCATCAGTCCACATGATCAATGATTCATTCCAGGCATTATACCAATATACAGTCCCATACACCGATACTTCACTGAACCCTGGTATCGCCTGCAACTGCAAGCACCCTTAAAACTAATTATCAGGGGTCCTAGGACCCCCATGTTTGTGAGTCGAGGTAAAACCCTGTATATGTATCATTTGAAAAGAAGGCTCAATTAATAAGGTCAAACTGGCTGCTGGGGACATTACCAGAATAAAACACATGAAAACAGGAAGAGATGGTCTCTCAAAAAGAAGATGAGCTGGATCAGGTGTTACTGTGTTGAGGTTTATTCCAATCATGCAGCATCCATGTGTATGTGGCTTTAACAGTTCTAGCCCACTGAGACACCCTTCCATACCCCAGAACATACTGTCGGAGCTGGACAGTACAGGGTGGAAATAACCCATTGCCCGACGTCCCAGTCCAGTGCTTTTGTCTGTCGGGCAAGCAAATTTGTATATCACGCTGTACCGGTGTCCAGTTGACTTTCTAATGTTAATTATGTAGCTTATTTAAAAAATGAACAGGAAAATCAGCCGGTATAGTGGAAAAATTATCAGGGCAAGTGATTTTACAGGTGCCACTGTACTGGAGTACACTAGCAATTTTAAAGTTATTTCCACCCCTGCAGTACTTGTTTCAAGTCCTTAATAGGATAAACTCAACAACCATCACTTAATGTCTACTTGGTTGATGGGTCAAGGTCATTTCTGACATTTACATATAGGCAGATAACAATACCTTGTTTGCTTTCCTTGTCATGACTAAAAAATCTGGGACCCGCTAACTTGACATAATGGAATGGCCCTTTTAATTATGTGTTGACTTTCACACTTAATTTCGAATGAAACAAAATTGTGTTATTGTCACACTACCATGTCACATTGCTTCTCTAGTACCTATTGCAGATGAGGGTCTGGTAACATCCGCATTATTTCCAAATCCAACATTATAAACAATCTAGATGGTACTGCCATGTTAATATGCAGGGGCCAACACAGTGATATCTTACCTCCCAGTAGAGTTTCTTGTTGACACCTTCTCCATAGGCCTTGGCAAATTTACTCTCGGAGTTAAGGGCAGTGATGGCAGCCGAGAATTGAGACATGGGGTGAAGGTTGCTGGGGAAGTTGTTCAACATTGTGCTCACGTGGTTTGGCAGAGCTGCACGGTTGTTCCACTCCTACACAATATATATACAAACAGATAGTGTACCTAATATAGGATTCCATACCACAAACATCAAAATTTAGCCATGGACAGAACCATGGAAATTGCAATCCTTAAAGGAATTTATAAATGTTATTTTCAAAAAGGACTAAACGTTAGTCATGGGTCTGAGAAAGGCTGGCTCTATGATACAGATCATAGAGATCGCTAATAATAGATCTCTTAAAAATACCTAAATATCAAATATAACTCTTATCTAATTATTGAAGTAGCAATTATCAGCAAAAATGAAATGAATAAGTCAAATGGAAATCAACATATTTCACATTACTTGTGAGTGGTGACACATTGGTGGTGTCTGTTCAGTAAATTTAATCTATTTCATCACACTAGTTTATATGATAGGGATGGGTACTAGAGTGTATGGAAATGAACATAAACCACGCACTGCATCAGATCACTCACAAGTGGGGACAATACTTTCACAGTCCTTGCTTTTTTCAGAATTAATAATGGGACAAATTTTTTATCAACAAAATATTTTCATGACCCACAAATTTAGAAAATGACTCCAAACTCAATTACTGTGAGTCACCATGACTCATTTTTTTAAAGTCTAACCCTGTATTTAAGCTATTTCTAAGTCAGAGAGACAATATGACTTATGTTATGGCATCCATCACAGAAGTGAGAAATCGTGGAATTATGTGAATCACCAGTAAATATTTTGATATTTTCACCTGTGTCATCTCCTACCCACCTGTCGGCAGCTGCCCAGTCAATTATTTGCTACTTTTATCAGAGTCAGGCCCCCCCCAACCCCCTCTGCCATTCCCCACAACCTGCGTCATTCTCCACCCACCTGAGTCATCCCTCACCCACCTCTGCCATCCCCCACCCACCTGTGTCCCCCCCTCTGTCATTCCCCACCAATCTGTCATCATCCCCACCCACCCGGAGTCCTCCCCCACCCACCTCTGCCACCCCACGTGTCATTCCCCACCCACCTGTCATCATCCCCCATGCACCTGTGTCATCCCCCCACCTACCTGTGTCATCATCCCCCACCCACCAGTGTCATCATCCCCACCCACCAGTGTCATCATCCCCCACCCACCTGTGTCATCATCCCCCACCCACCTGTGTGATGGCATCAGCCTGAGCCTGTGTGGGCAGCTGTCCTGTCACCAGGAGCCAGAACAAGCCTTCTGGCAGGGGCTCCTCTCCTTTCCCTCCTGCTGTGGGCAGGACCTTCTGACACTCTGGGATACTGTAACCACGGAAACGGATGCCCTCATCAGGGTCAAGGACAGAGGTTTCAGTAACAAGACCCTTGATGCCTCTCATACCACCATACATCTGGAATAAACATTCAGAAATCAGTATTCATAACTTTCTGCGACTATGACATCTAAGATATTTTTAAAATAGATGATTCTATGTAAACTCAGTTACTGTTCCACGATATCATTTTCACATCATGTTTTCTTTTATCAGTAATTTGTAAAAAACCCAAAACAAGACAACCCACTCTTCTCACATCTGACTATTCTGAGTATTTGTCTGCCATTTTGTATTATGTTGCTATGGTCACATGGCCATTAGTATTTCAAGCTGCAGTAAACAGGTAACACAGGTAACATGCCACTTTAAGGTGTAATCTGGTTTCTATAACACAGCAGGGATACCAGAAATGAGGTCCACACATCATACCCATGTGGGAATCGATCCCAGGAATCCATGTGAAGAGGTAATGCTTTAACAACTAGGCTACCCTGGAATCATTGTACTTGTTTAAAAAGACGCACAAGACCACAAGGACTTTACGATCCAAAGCAGATTTGTTTTGTCTTTGTGTTGTTTCACCAGTCACTAGGCTATATTCAAGCTAATTGATGCTGCCTTTGAACTCTCCAATCTGGACCAGATGAACCTGTGATTGACATGAGCATTGATGAACACAATTAGAATATAATGACATGCATTGAGCAAGTCACAACCTGGCCACCCAATCCTGTTAGTCTCCTCTTACGACAAGCAAATGTTGAAGACTGGATCCTAGCACACCACAGCATGTCAACAGGAGTAGGAACCATAGTACGTTTCTTTGTTGTTACACTCACCATGTTCACGTTGACCTCTCCCACTTTAGTTTCACCATACTGCTTCCGAAATTCCACAATTTCCTTCTGTTTCTTTGGAATTTCATTAGCAAGGAAATCTTTTAAATTCTGAAATAGACAAAAAGAGGCATTTTAAACATACATATATTGACATTTGGATTACTGTCCGATAAATGTACTACTAAAAGAATATGTACTAACATAACAGTGCATGCAGGTACATTGCCGTATCTGCTTGTTTCCCAAAACACGGACCCACTTGGCATGCTGGGGTCCATGTGACATAAAAGCAGCGCCATTCTTGAAAGTAGGTAGTGAGGGAGAGGGAGAGTTATAGGTAGGGAGAGCGAGAGTTGAAGGGGAGAGAGAAGGCAAGTAACTTATAGGGAGAGGGTGAGTTATAGGTAGGGAGAGGGAGAGTTATAGGGTGAGTTTAGTTTTACGCTGTGTCACTGTGGGGTTGACACCAAAATGGGCATCACACAGTGTACCCATGTAGGGAATCAAACCTGGGTCTTCTGCATGACAGGTGAACACTTTAATCAGTAGGTTACCCCACTGCCCCAGAGTTATAAGGAGGTAGAGGGGAGAGTTATACAGAGGGAGGGGGAAGGCTCAGGATTCTCATAAAGCCACAACAGCAAGTTACAACTTACATGAGTACTGTTACCTTTCTTAAACATTATCAGGATTTTCACCTTGACCTACAAAAAACTGGGTCCAAATAACCCAATTATGAATTTTAGGGTCCTTACCCTGCTTATAGTCCATATGATTGTCCTGTAAAGTGAAAAATGGTATACCCCACAACAACACATGATAATTACTTTAATTATAGGACATTCACCATGTTTGTACTTGTCAGTGAACTACGCTGAATATTACTGTTTCTATCATAATACAGTATATTGTTTTGGTTTAAAATTCTATACATTTATTCATACTGGATGCAAATATCTGTCACAAGACCTTGCATTATTCACTCGAGTTAATGTAAGAGTGATGCTTGGAATGAGGTATCTGTACAGAATATATTGTATTGATTTTTAATAATTTCTCAGTTATACAGTATTCATCTTTAGTGCCTTGTCCAAAGCCCAAGTCTTGTAAAATCAGGTTCAGTCATGCTGGTCCATGTACGCCATTAAAATCTAATAAAGATGATGTTAGAGCCGCGTTCAGGCCTGTAGACTCAAATGTTTTAAGCAGGGATAGTATGAGTATTCTCCAACTGATCAAAACTCTGTAATGCGGATTCACTATCTTTCTAAAGCTTTGGAAAGCTGACAATCATTGCTTCAAGAACCCTCTCATCTATAAAATGTATCATCACTTGACATGAATGACTTTCTATGGTGCTGTCTTAACGCAATATTCCACCTATATGGCAGCAGTCAGTAAATAATCAATTCTGGACCAGACAATCAAGTGATCAACATCATGAACATTGATTTACACATTTGGGATACGATGACATGTCAACAAAGTCAGCGAGCCTGACCTACTGACCCGCTAGTTGCCTCTTGCAACAAGTATGCAGTATGCATTGATTTGTGCTACATATTGCGATATAGTAGAAGCTGAAGTGACTCAGATTACATGCAGCTACCAGTATATATTACCCATCATGGTCAGTCACCACCATTTTGTAGTCAAACAATAATGATAACTGACAGAAATTCATGTCATTGTTTCCTCTGTGTTGTTAATCAATTTCAAAAAGAAACATTTGTGAATGTTTTTACACCAAACCTATATTTATTTTACCCAACTCGAAAAAAAATGTAATGTGTACTGCTTGAAAGTGTATTGTAAGTCATTAAATTCGTTGGTTTCACATGATTTTTCAACTCGCTGTGCGCATGCGCAGAGCGTGTGAAAAATATCCACTGGCATGTTTCGGTTTGGTCATATGCTTATCAATAGTGTAAATGCATTGTAAATATAAGCTGTTATGAAAATGATTTACGTTATGACAACTGTTCATAGCTGAGTACATACTCCCATTTGCCTCTGCTTTTCAATAATTGATGTCCTATTTTGGTTGCAATTCCATCAGAGATGTGTTTGTTTAGTTGTGAGAAGGGGATGTGCGGGAAGGACGGTGGTGTGAGATGTCTTTATACAAGAGCTTGTTGACATAAGCGAAGCTATTTATGTAACTAATCCCGGCCTCTGTTTCATAAATCAATTGGGATCAGTTATATTCGACATAAAACTATATATTTGTTTAGATTTTTGTTTTCTTTGGAGTGTTTACACTATCGATAAACATACGACCAAACCGGAAACATGCCAGTGGATATTTTTCGCATGCGCACAGCGAGTTGAAAAGTAATGTGAAACCAACGAATGCACAATAACCACAACCACAAACACAACAGGATTGACTATGACTGAAATGGTAACCCCCCATTACCCCTACATGCCACTACCCCTACAGCTTATAACAACATAGTTTACGGTCTGTTTACGGTCTATATTCATATATATGCAAATATACCACCAGCATGATATTCACCTGTTAATATACAGCTTGTGAGTTAGAGCGTGAAGTATGTCTACTCAAGCATGTAAAAACACAGTAAATGAAACATTCTGCCAAGCTCTGGAGTGTGAGGCCAATGGTGGTATGGTGATACTATATTACACATCCTGATGCATACTCAGCACTTTTGACAACGATGTTTTATTCTTTTACCACCATAAACTGATACTCATATTACGTTTGGCACATATGAAAAGTGTGTGAGTTTTTATGTCGTTTTTAACAATATTCCAACAATTCATAGAAGGGGTTGTATAAAAAGCAGTGTCCAATAAGGCTGTAACGAATCACTCGCATATTCGGTGAATCGAAACGAAGCCCTTCATGAATTCAATTCGTTATTCGTGGTCACCAAAACCAAATATTAACGAATATTTACGATTTTTTAACCCTTGTGTACTTTTGTAAAGTGAGATATGCAAGGATTGAATATGTACTAGCAATGCAGTAGCGCAAGTCATGTTAGTTGGCCAAGGCTGCACATGGTACTGTCGACTATACATACCTATTACATACCAAATTTGAGTGTCATGAGATCACTGGTTATTGCTGTGACAAATAAAAACTGTCAACAACGGCGTTCCATATTGTAAATCCATCACTTAACAACAATATTGTATTCGTGAATAATTATTAGTATTCGGTACCCAATATTCATGATACGTATCATATTCACCACATAGTGTATTCGTTGCAGCCCTAGTGTCCAACTGTCCTCTGGTTTATTTGTGAAATGTGTGTGCATACAAATACAAAATTACATTGAATAAAACTGTTACATAAATATATGATGTATTGATGATATGGGGTAGTATTACTAGTAGTATAAAATAGTGGTGGTGTGATTAATTGAAATAATCGAAGATTGGTCGCAGTGACCAAACGACCAAACAATCGATCACATTTTCTCATAATCGAACATAAACGATTTTGGAACTACTTTTTTAGTCTTTGAAATACTTGACAATGGAACATATCGTTGAAGTGTCAGGGCCTGAAAACGTGTTTAATTCATAGAAAACTCACTTCACTAACTGAAAAGTCATGACTGAATATTTCTGAAGACTCCAGGAAGTTTATGTTCATGATATATTAGTCATCACTTTAAAGTAGCAAGTTGCAACATGTTATACATATCTGCAATAACAACCTGGATAGGAAAATATGATAAATGACGCTAACCAATTTTTTTCGATGATTGTTCGGTTGGTAATGAAGCAATCATCAATTGTGAGATTTCAACCAAGTCCCAACACTAGTATAAAAACAATGTCTGAATGAAACGGTTTAATAAATATATGATACAGGTTGTATGAAAAGCAGTGTCCAACTCTCTATTCTTCTGGCTTATTTATGAAATGTGACCAGAATGCTAGCACACTGATTAGAGTCAACACAGGAACAGAACTACACATAGACGGCTTAAAGCATTGGAGTTGTGAATAACAATTACAGTTTCTGCACATATTATAAGTCTAAAAGCAGACTTAATACATCCCTATCATTCATATCAGTCAGTGTGTGATTGTATTTATTCATTAGCAGCATAATCACATTTGCTGTCAATAAAAACCTTTCAACTGGATCTTTACATTTAGAAATTACATACATCATTTTTCACATGTGTTCTATAAGATGGCAGAAACTAAGCAGTGAAAAAAAACCATAATTAATATTTCTGCTTTTATTCATTTATTCTCTGTCCGAGAATGATGTCAGGTGTGCAGCAAAAGTTGTGCAATCTCCTTGTCTCCTCTACTGGCTGCCGAACAGTTATCGCGGCGTAAATGTCATCGCCAATACATCTGATTTGGCGCAGTTTCGATCAATTACACTTCTGTTATTTTTTCACACGGTATTTGAAAACAATTAATGACAGCAATAGAAAATTCTTCACGGTAAGTAACATAAGAGAAAAATGGAAGATAAAGGTATGAACCCTATCATTTTTTGTAACTTTGTCGCGATGATGTTACACGATCTATATAAAAGCAAGTTCAAGTTCACAAAAGTCATTGTTTCATTCCCTATCAATCTACTGAAAAAAAAACTAAACAAGTCACTAGGGGTGTCACGATACACCAATCTCACGATACGATACGTATCACGATTTTAAGGTCACGATACGATACGTATCGCGATCGCCGATACATTATTTTCGGGCCTTTTCATAGCATTACCTTACGCAGCGTTAGTTTCCAACCTACTTTTTAAGTGATTGGTCCATCAAAATAGTCTAGCCAATCACAGAAAGCTGTTAGTTTGGTTTCCAACCTCCACTTTTAAGTAAAGCTAGCTACATCTATTTATCGGAGCGGTCCCGTATAATTTTTCTATCAAGACTTTGAAGGAGATGGATATAGCACAAAAATTTTAATCAATAAAGTTTTAAAATAGGAATCGATACACGCAAGCATGTATCCCGTATCGTATCGTCAGTACAAATGTATCAATGCATCGATACATTCGCGTATTGCTACAACCCTACAATTATTCGAGGTTTTTATGATATAAATATATATTATTTCACGAATGATATGAGGAATTCTGAAATGGCGAT